GTAATAGTAGGCGGCCACGTCGTCGGCCACACGTATGTACACATCTCTATTCATTTGTGCCATGCACTGCTCTCCAGTCTCCATCTCTATATTCATTCGTTAAAATCCATATGTACACTTATAATTAACATCTAATAATTTGCTTGCATGATGAATATTAGTGTACATTGGCTAGCTAGCCTTAACATAATTAGCTGGGCGTTGATTACTTGAATTAGTATTATTATAGTACTCCATGTCTTTGTCTTTCTCAATCATCATATTAATAAAGCAATTAATGCATAAGCCATCCACTTTTGAATTTGATAATGTAGGGCTTGTTCTCATCACCTGATATAAATGATTTTGTTCTGATTGAAATATATTTTAATTTGGTCTAATTTAATCTGATCAATGTAGTTATATTCAAAAAGATTTCTTATTTAATTTGAACTAAATCTAATAAGAATACGTAAAAAGTAATGAGAATAAATGGAAGAGAACCTATAGACGGGGTATTAATTAATTATTATGATTATGATGAAGCGATAATAATGATAATAATAATACAATGGTACATGCGTCGTGCAAATTAAGAACTCAATTAAATTGAGATGAAAAGTTGATTACGACTAGTGGATCATCAACTAATATAATGAACCATATACATATGTGTATGTATAACACGCTAACTTGTCCGCAACCATATACATTTATTTATAAATATATTTCCATGGATTAAAATCATTAAATTATTTCTTCTATATCCTCTCTAACATTATTAAGTAGTACTCCGTATATTATTTCTTGTTGAATTACTATTATTATTGTTATTAGTACAACTATTATTATTGTTATTACTACTACTACTACTACTATTATTATTATTATTATTATTATTATTGAATAAATTAAAAGAGTACAAGCAGATTATTATCGAGGAGGTACTACTGTTACATGCAGATTATTTAAAATCGATTTCGTTATATACTTATATATTACTTCATCCCTCCTATAAAGATGTTCTTGTTTTGACTTTTAAAAAATTTAAGGGAGTGCAAATTTTGTGTTAACTCTCCAAAAATATTTTTTGTGTAATGGATAAAAAGTAGGAAGTGATGGTAGATTATTAGTAAAAGGTATGATAAGATAAGTAGGTTAAAACTTAGTACGGATAAAAGTAAATTTTTAATAGAACAAAGGAAGAATTTTGTGGGACAAGAAAAAAAAGAAAGGAATTCTTGGGGTGCATGAAGTATTAGTTTATTTGAAATTAATATTGTGTTAATGGCAACAAAATCAACAAACGAGTGTGGATTTAATATCCCTAAGATGATTTTGAAATGTAGTTATATATTTTTATGCTCCATATAAAAATATACTCGTAATTATTTTAATTTGTTTTAAATATACTCGTGATTATTAACACTCAAAGTATTACATTGTACTTCTGCGTCTCAAAAAGTTTTCTCTTTTTTTTCCTTGTCCCAAAAATGTCTTTATTTTTTCTATTAAAGAGCACTTTTATGTATATTAATTTTTACAATACCTACCACCTTATATCCATTTCCTACTCTCTTTGGTCCTAAACGCTTTTCTTGTTTTAACTTTTTTTGTCAAAAGTGACATTTTTTACCATAAATGAACATAGTCTAAATAAATAAATTCTATAAAAATTTGATATATCAAAACTATATCCTAAGATAAACCTAATTATGTTAAATTTATATTAATATTAAATGAATTTTTCTCACAATTTATGGTAAAAAAGTTTGACCATTTGACTCAAAAAAATCAAAATAGGAAAGATTTTAGGAACTCGAGGAAGTAATAAAGTATCCTATTCTACTTTATCTCATTATTACATCAAAAGTGTTTTTATAAAGTAAATATAAATATACCACCATCTCTTGAATTCCATAAATTAAAAGTCAAAACAAGAAGTTTATTAGTCTTTGCTAATGCAGAATGACATGTGATAAGGATTCTTGAAATGACAGTACTCAAAGACTCAAAGTTCTAAGTACTAGAAAGATTAGACAACTATGAGTAGTTAATTAGCACTTGGAAAACACAATCACCAATCTGTTAACGTGAACTTGAGTTTCGTATTGCTTCTGAAAAAAGAAAAATAACCGTGTTTGTGTCCATAAAAATCAGTTCAACTTTTCATTGTGTGGGCGCCCAAACCCTAAACTATAATTATTGGGAAGATGCTATGAAAATAAATTAAATTATACTTTCTCCGCTCCTAAAAGATATTCCTATTTAATATTTTGTGCATCTCATAAAATAATTCTATGAAAAATGCTAGGGTACACCAAAGGTGTACCCCATATATCCCCCATCCCCTCCTTGTCCACTAAAAAAGGCAAAAAAAATTAAAAAAAAAATAAGTAAATAAAAATCAAATAAAAATGTGTGGTGAAGAAGAGGGTGGTGTACATTTGGGGTACACCTTTTGGTGTACCCCTAGCATTGCTCTATTTCTATTTAATTTCAAATGTTAAAAAAAATTTTCAAAACAACTCCTACCCACAATAAAGGAAAAATGTGATGAATTTTAGTCATTTTAGGTGAGGGTAATAAAAATGTTTTATGACCGAGTAATAAGTACGGAGTAATAACTAATCTTTACCAAGCTAAGCTAGCTAGGAATCTCCCATGCAGACATGCCACATGCATATTAGCTGTTTTAAGGGGTCATTATGTCCTTAATCATGTGCCCTATCACTTAAGAAGAAAACACTAATAATATAATAGTGGTGCAGTGTTTATTCATCACGGAGTATATTGGAGTACTAGGTCGTGATTCTGTCATGTTCGACGGAGCATATACATACTCCGTATATAAACTCTCCATTCTAAAAAAAAAAAGAGTTTCCTGGTACATATATACTCCGTATGTACATACCCTTCTTTTTGTCTGTTTTAAATGGTTTTGTTTTGATAGAAATAAATTCTAATTTAAATGTAATTATATTTAAATCTATTTCTGATCTTTTTTTATTTGACTTGAATTGATTCCAATAAGAAAAAACAATACTCCATCTCGTTCTAAGAAGTTGATACAACTCAAAATTGGATTGGATTACATGAAAAGATCGATCATGACCTTGATAAAATCAACCAACAAGTTGATACAACCCAGGATTGGATTGGATTACATGGACATACCAATTACTGGTAAAAAGATGGAATTAGTCTAGGGGTACATGCACCAACATGAGTGCTTCATTTGTACACCAAACTAGCACATGCATACACAGACATTTTATGTTCGTGTACGTGCGTACGTGTTTGTGTTTGCTTGATATACAAATGAGATACCCCGTCCTGGTGTACCCCTAGTGCTGCCTAAAAAGATGAAAAAGTTACAACAAGTGATTGAAATGAACCATGCTAGGGGTACACCATATTGGTGTACACCCCAATTGTACACCAGCATTTTCAATTGGAATAAATCAAGTGATTCACATGGACTCTAGATGTACACCATCTTCTCACAGACACACACTGTCTGTATTTCACATGGACTCTAAGTATGGTGTACACTTAAGTTACACCATCAATTGGAATATCTCTAGATTTTTTCGTAAATCAATCATTAACTTCTCCCAATTTATTTACATGTATGCACTCGCTTTTTCACCTATGAATCCTTTTGTAAGCACTCAAAGTCATAAGATTTGATTGTTGGGAATTCTATGAAGTAACCTTGTCTTTAATAAATAATCTGTATCCATAATATAAATCAAAGCATTACTCCTTCTATGGTAAAAAGATTAAGTTCACAGTCTCTTTATATCTCTCTAAATTCACATGATCTATTTCTTTAGGAGTTAATGGTAACATCAAATTAATACATTTGGTGGATTAAATCCATGGATATTGATAGTGTCTCCCTAATATAAATAGAATAATACACAATTAGTAGACAATGAGTCGGTTTAGCTGTATTGTCCGGGCACGACCCACTTTTTAAATTTAAAGTTTTTTTCTTCATAAATAGACCGCAGATGGACCACCCTTGAATCGCATACATCAACCGACAACCTCGGACCCACTTCACATTACTCTGTTCTTTCAAGTTTCCAACCATTTTTAAATAGTACATAAATTAATTTATTTCTTAAATATCATTTAATAATATCGAGAAGTAAAAATAATGTTCAGTGATAATAAATATTTACTTAAATAATGACTAATGGATAATGATTAAAAGTATTATATTGGAAAAAACATATATGATGCTGTTTAGCGAAAGTCATTGTGTTTTAGTGCTATTTTAGTAAATACGTAGTATTGTTTTTATGTCTCACAAGGAGTCATCACATTTGGTGTAACTCTCATCTTATTCAATTGTGAAACTCATTATTATCTTCTCACTTTTCTATTTAAGGTGTTCCACAATCTTTTTCTTTAGATGAATTTAATTAAGTAGCACTAAAATAAAATAATTTTCCCTAAATAGCTCATCACATGTGTTTTTTCTCAAGGTAGCACTTTTAGTCATTATTTAAATAAATGTTTGTCATCACTGGATATTATGTACATTATTAAATGTTATTTAGAGAAAAAAAGAATTTAAGTACTATTTTGGAAAATATATAACTTAAGTTTAAATGTTATTCAGTACAAATATTTCTTTTCTTTATTCCTTTCAAGAAAATCATTATATTTCTCATTCTATTACACAAGTCACAACTATAGATATTGCATTTTAATAAAAATCTTCTCAAGTAACATACAAAAATTCTTTAGAAGGCCGGCCGGCCAGCCTTGGGAGGGAATATTGAACCACGCGATCCCACACGATCGGGAGCTGCATGTGCCCACACCGACGCCTCATATCGTGTCTCTTCGGTGTTCCTCCGCTGCACCATATATAGTTGATGACCCGCAACCACCGGTCCCAAAATCTCCACCGTCCGTAGCTGTCTGATCTGACGTATGAAGTCCACCCCCACCCTCTACTCACTTTAACTTCCTCCTATATATATATAAAACCTCTCTCTTCCCCTTCCCATCCTCACACCAAACCGCAACCATTCTCTCTTAATTATTCAATTCTATTCCAACACTACTCGCCGGAGACTCACCGGAAACTCATTTAAATGGGGAGCAGAGCAGCCGCCTTTAGCAACAACAACGATGAACTGATAGACAACCTTAACGACACAGAACTGAGGTTGGGTTTGCCGGGAAGAGACGACGAAAAACCTCAGGGAGAATCTTCCCAAGAATCAAGAAACCAAAAAAAGAGGTCTTTTTCTGACTTTGCCGTCTCAGAAGCAGAGTTAGCTGCGCCTCCCGCTCCCAAGGCGCAAGTCGTGGGGTGGCCGCCGGTTCGCGGCTACCGGAAGAACCTCATGGCGGAGAAGGAGGTGGCCGCCGGCGGCGGCGGGGTTTACGTGAAAGTGAGCATGGCCGGAGCTCCGTACCTGAGAAAGATGGATCTGAAGGTGTACGGGAGCTACCCGGATTTGGTGAAGGGTTTGGAGGAGATGTTCAGATGCAGTATTTGCTTGTACGGCGAGAGGGAAGGCGGGTACATTAACTTCATTCAGGGCCCCGACGACTACACTCCGACGTACGAGGACAAGGACGGCGACTGGATGCTCGCCGGCGACGTGCCGTGGGAGATGTTCGTTAACAACTGCAAGCGGCTCAGAGTCGTTAACCTCAATGATCTGAAGCTATAGGCTTTGTTTGTTTGATTTACTGTAATTAATTAATTTTCACACCGCAATTTTCCACTAGTAGTAATTTGTATAGATTGAGTTGTGTCACTTGTGTGTATTATTGCCGCATCGATGATGTTGGTAAATTAATTAAAGTTGAAAAAAATGAATTTTTGCAAGAGAAATTTACCTAAATTGGACTAAAACATAATGACTTTCCCAATATAAGACTATATGTTTTTATTTCCTAATGTAAGACCTTTGGTCATTATGAGTTAGTCATTATTCAACTAAATGTCCAGCATCACTTGGACATTATTCTTCTCACTAGTCATTATTTAGTCCTATTTAGGGAATAAAAAAGTTTAAGTCTTACATTAGGAAATGACTTATGTTTTAGTCCTATTTAGTGCAAATTTCACTTTTTGCAATGATGTGTGCAATCAAAACGAGTCAAAACCAAATTATACTTTCACTATATAAGATTTTTTGATTCTACGTGTTTTACAAATTGATTTCTTCAAGCCTACGTTAGAGGTTAGCGTTTGCATTTTAAAAAAACTAGCTGATGATAGCTTTAGTGTTATCATTTTTGAAATTAATCTACATTATTAAAATTTTATCTAAAATGATAATACGGAGTACTAATCAAAAGCATTGTCTTCTAACAAGATTTAGTGCCTGTTTGGTAACAGCGTTAGCGATTAACGTTAGCGTTTTGAAAAAGCTATCTACGGGTAGCGTTTAGCGTTTTCAAAGCGATCTGCAGCGTTAAAATTTTATCCAAAACGCTAACGCTAATCTCTAACGCTATTCCCAAACAGGCCCTTAATAGATGGAGTGATCGACGGATGAACACGCTCCACATCTCCTAAAAAAGGTAAACATTTCCTTTGTCCAATAAAGTTTGTCTCATGTTTATTTTTAAATAAATTTAAGAGAAATATTTTTTTTGTTAACTTTACAAAAATAATCTTGATGTGATTGATAAATATAGAATGTAACGGGTAGATTGTTGGTAAAAAATATGATGAGATAGATTAGATAAGAAATAGTATGTGGAAAAATAGATTTTTAATACCACCTCCGTCCCAAAAAAATTTACTAAAGTTGAAATTAAAGGAGAGATAATTTTTTGTTGACTTTCCAAAAATACCCTTGATGTGATGAGTAAAAGTAAGATGTGATGTGTAGATTATTAGGAAAAAGGTATGATGTGATAAGTAGGGTTTAAAAAAGTAAGGGGTAAAGTGATTTTTTTTAATAGAAATGGATAGGAGATTGCGGGAAGCAATTTTTTTGAAATGTGTAAATCTTTTTGGGATGTAGGAAGTATAAAAAAAGAAATAATCCGTGGGACACACAATTAAAGAAAGAACTTTTTAGTATAGAGTAATTTCTAGACAACATCATGATTTACTTTAATTATCATATACGAGTATTTTAAATGTTTAACTTTAATATCTTTCTCATTCATGCATTTATTTTTAGGATGGAAGAATGAATTGGGTTTGATGGGGTCAATAATATAATTAATAACTAATAGGAGTCCTGAAAATAATTTAGAGTTGTGTTATAGTAGACTAAAAATATAATCTACATGTAAAATATAGACTTTTTCTTGTACATATTATTCTTACAATGTTCCACAAAATAAAATGATCTCATACATGAAGAATTGAAGATACATACAATAAATTTTAATCTAAAGACTGAAAAATGAATTTTTCAATAATTTAACGTCATCAGTGCTCATAACCCAAAAGCACTGTTTCATTTATTACTTCTACCACTTCAATTTATTGAATTTTTGGGGGTTTGTAAATAAATGAACAAATTGCGATTGGGGCGGAGAAATACATGCATGAAAGNCATACACATGTGGTGTCCATGCATACTTTAGACGACCTACAAACGTTAATTTCACGATAGATTACATGTGTTTATATATGGGACATGCAATATACTCCCCTTTATATGGCCGGCCGGGAATTTAATGATCAAACCATTGGCCCGCCTGGCCCAATTAACCCATGAGAAATTACTCCCTCAAATTAACTACTCCCATGAATATTTTTTTCGTGACTGGACACGTTTATTAAAGAGTAGTAAAAAGTGTCAAAATTTTAAGAATGAACATGCTTTAAATTCTCAAGTAAAATTTGCACTGAATAGGATTAAAACATAAGTTATTTCTCAATCTAAGACTTAGATTTTTTTATTTTCAAAATAGGAGTTAATAATGACTAGTGAGAAGAATTAATAATGTCCAATTGATGCAGGACATTTAGTTGAATAATGATTAATAGATAATGACCAATGGTCCTACTTTACAAAATAAAAACATATGAAGTATGATCATATATTGTGAAAGTCATTATGTTTTAGTCCTATTTAGGTAAATTACCTAATTCTTAAATCTTCTTTTTTAAATTTTTAAAATTTTAAACATACAATAAAAAAGTAGATTAGAGGTAAAATGAAAGGGTACTGTCAAAATTTACTCCACAAAATGGCTAAAAGAAGAAATGAGAAGAATATTTTCTAACAATCCAAAAATAAAGTGAGAAGAACATTTCCCGATGGAAGAAAGTACAAGCTAAGGTTTTTTTGTGTTTGAAAATTGATTAGAGTATTCTCATTTTGATGACATATTTATGCTATAAGAGTAGAATACCACCAGTTTCGTCAATATTTGTCCTATTGTGTTCGTCAAATTTGATTTTAAAGGCAAATTGAATAAATGTTAATCACTAATTACTTCTCAATTATATTTGTTTTGCATGTTAGTATTCTATTTGTTCTATTTTAATGTTTTAATTTCAAATTACAATGTCTGACTAAAATTATTTCTAATTCAATTTAAATAATGATTGACGTAGGATTAAGAAATACAGCTAATATGTTCTAAAAATTTCTTAAAGATTACAATAGAACGAAAAGAGTATTATCTTAAAGCAAATACACATTTTAGTTGTCATCAAGTAGACGTTCAAAATTAATTTGACTTCAAAAAAAAATTAAACTGAACAGAGAGAGCGAATATCGGACCTACTAATTATAAGGAAAGACAGCGATGACCACCCGTTAATCCCATCACCGGGGGACAACCTGGGACCCACCACCCACATTACCCTGTTCCTCCGGCTCCGCTCCAACCGCAACGATCCGACCTTCCACCCCATCCTTATTCAAATCCCCCCAATACATGCATATCTTCTTCAATCTCCCATTTCGATCCGCAGCTGTATAATAATATAGTACTAAGTCCTAATATTTGAATGTGATGTGACAATATTTATTGGGCATTGAGCAGTTGGTAAGACAAAGAATGTCAAATGATAAGATTTGAGTTTGATTTTTGATAATTGTATTGATAAACAACTATGTTAAGAATGGTGTTTTGTAAGTATCATGTGCATATTTCATTCTTTGCCATCAATCTATGATCAAAATTCAATTTACCTTCTCCCTCGTGACACCTTGAGTTTTATTCTTTATGGATTGATCTCACGACAACTCCCTCATTCTCTGTCCCTTCCCTGTTCATACCCTGCACCTTCCCTCACCCGCACCCACCTCTCCTCCAATCTCCACCCTCCCTTTCCTGCCTCATCCGACGGTTCCAATCCACCCTCATCTCATATATATAACCCCCTTCCCCCCTTTTCATTTCACAACACAATTCCATTCCAGCATTCCGAATTAAAATCAAAGAGTGAGTTATTTAATTTGATTTGCTCGCCGGAAACGCGTTAGAGATGGACCTCAGTGATCTCAACAACCTTAAAGACACCGAACTGAGGTTGGGTTTGCCGGGGAGAGACCGCGAAGAACGGGATCAGTCTCCCCAAGAATCAAGAAACCAGCAGAAAAAGAGGTCTTTTTCTGACTTGGCCGTTTCAGAGGCAGAGTTTTCTGCGCCTCCCGCTCCCAAGGCGCAAGTCGTGGGGTGGCCGCCGGTTCGCGGCTACCGGAAGAACGTCATGGCGGAGAAGGAGGCGGCCGCCGGCGGGGGCGGGGTATACGTGAAAGTGAGCATGGCCGGAGCTCCGTACCTGAGAAAGATGGATCTGAAGGTGTACGGGAGCTACCCGGATTTGGTGAAGGGTTTGGAGGAGATGTTCAAGTGCAGTATTTGCTTGTACGGCGAGAGGGAAGGCGGGTACATTAACTTCATTCAGGGCTCCGACGACTACACTCCGACGTACGAGGACAAGGACGGCGACTGGATGCTCGCCGGCGACGTGCCGTGGGAGATGTTCGTTAACAACTGCAAGCGGCTCAGAGTCGTTAAGCTCAAGGATTTGAAGCAATAGGCTTTTTATTATTTGATCGATTATTAAGTGGAGTAATTTATTTGATTTCACACGTCACTTTTTTTTCACTTTCATTAAATTAGTAGAGATTGATTATTAGCTTGTGTAGTGTGTATTTATTCCCCCAATTCTTGCATGATGTTTAGCAAAAAGAATATTGCAATGGTTTATTGTAATCAAAGCATAGTTTGAGCAGTTGAGTTCTTAGCTTGAACTAATTTTCACTCCATAGTTAATCCCTTGTCTAATACTCTCTAGTCTCTATGTCTCAATTTAAATTTATTTTTAACTCAATTTATTTTTAATTATTTGTTTGAAAAATAGTATATAATTATAATATTTTAAAATATATAAATATAATATAAAACATATCATAACCTATATATATATATATATATATATATCAAATATTTTACATTTATGTTTTATTTAAATAATTATTTCATACATAAACTAGTTTTTTATGGACTAGGGCAGAATTTTTCTATTTGGGGTGGAATTTCTTTTTGACAAAAGGTCACCAATATACAAGCCCAAAAAGATATTACTCCGTAAAACTAATTCTTTTTACTGGGCAGCTGCCCCCATGTTAATCATAGTGGATCCGCGCCTATAAGGCTATCCGCAAAAGAAGTCTTTGTGAGTTTTTTTTTTGTTTTGCTGTTTTTTAAACATGCATTTGTTTTGTTTTGATCATGAAAATTTAAACGTTATGTTACTTACAAGATTAACCCCACATCATCAAAGAAAATTACCTATAAGTAATCAGTATTTATAAGAGAGTCATGATATATTATTTGTGAGAGACAACAACAAACTCACCACTTTTCTTATGAGTGTTTATTACTCTGATCCCTCCTTTTTTCTAAACAGTTCCTGTTTTAACTTTTGCAAGACTTATTTTTGTAATTTGATTTTCTAATTAAATCATTAGCGTCGATAAGAAAAGATAAACAAATTATTTAATTAACTTATTATATTAATACAAAATGGATGAAATATATTGCAATGATTTTATTTGGACATATTAACCATTAAATAAGAAAGAAATATTTTGAGTAATTCCATAAAAGATCCCCAGTTATAGGTCCTTTTACATATTTAGTCCCTACATATCAAATATTACTAATTTAGTCCCCAATTATTATATTTATTTCCACGAATGGTCTTTGTTAACATTTTCGTTAAAAACGTGGGTAAATTATAAATTCACACTTCTTTCTCTCCTCAATTAAGCTTCCCTCCTCCCTTGCATACCTTTCTCAAACCCGTCACTGAGTTTCTAGCTTTGAATCCTAAACCAAAATCATCACTCTTCTCTCAATTGTTTGTCTAACTGGAGGAACGATCATTTAAGTTTTGGGTTTAAGAGATTCAAACTCAGCGACGAGTTTGGAAAAAAGTATGAGAAAATGGAGGAGGCTTAATTGAAGAGAGAGAAAAGTATGAATATACAATTTTGTCCACGTTCTTAACAGAAATGTTAACAAAGGACCATTCGTGAAAATAAATATAATAATTGGGGACTAAATTAGTAATATTTGATATGTAGGGACTAAATATGTAAAATGACCTATAACTGGGAACCTTTTATATAATTACTCAAGTATTTTTGTAAAACAATGAGGAGCTTGGGGTGGAAGTCAATGTTGGTGGCCGGGTGAACATTTGTACGTGCATTCAAACAAGTTTTTTCAGAGGAAAAAATTTCAACCGTTTTACTTTCATGTTGGTCAAATCTTCAACTTCTAATCTTTGACTATTAGTTTCATTGTTCATAAATATTTAGTTATAAAAATAACACTTTTTTGTAATTAAATTAAATGAATATTGATCACTATATAATAGTACTCCATCTGTCCCAAATTATAATGCTTGTTCACTATTCACATGGTCAAACTTTATTCTCTTTCTTTCTCTATGTTCGTTACCAATTTGATAAAATAAAATATTATTGTCACTACTAGTTTTGTAGATCTTTTGATGTAGTTTTTTTATATGTAATTTTTATTTTTTAATCTTATACCATTTTTCATATAAAATGGTTTGAAAATAATTTCAGTCAAACATCATAAACCGAAATAAGCGTTATAAAATGGGACGGAGGGAGTAGAAGATAAGATTTAATTAAATGTATCTTAAAAACATTTTCAATAAATTATTTTATTTTATTAATATATACTCGTAATACATACTCATAATAATATTTATTTAGTTGATGGTAAAAATTATCAAATTTATGACAAAAAATTAATGTCAAAGTGGATAAACACACAGAGACGGTAATGCTAGGGCTGGCGCCAATGGTAGGGCTGCCGTGGGGCTGTGTCGATGTTGGTGGGGCAAATATTTTTGCAATCCTTAGAGCTATGCAGCCTATGCTCATTTTATGGATATTACACGTAAAATGATTTTATGTAATGGGCCTTGTAGAAATAAAGAGATCCAACTATGAGTTTATGAAAATCATTTGATAAAGTCCATATTTTACATGATGTGACCTTAAAATGACCTTATATGACAGTGTAATGTTGATTGTCGATGGTCGTTTGATGACAATGCAATAAGTGTGGATAGCAAGTGTACCTTAGATGGCGTGTGCTGGCGGTGTGGAGACAGAGATACCTAACTATTTTGTTGTGGTGGTGGTGGTTTGATGTTCATAGTGTGGCTACGGAGGATGAAAATGTGGCGGCAAAGTTGGTAGTGTGGCAGCAGAGGGAGGCAGTATAATGACAACAATGATAGTGATGATAGAAGTGTGGTGGCAGAGAGAGATAAAGCGGCGGAAGAATTGGTGGAGATGATGGTAATATGGTTGCAGAGGATGACAATGTGACGACATCGGTGGTGGTGATTATGGCATTGTGGCGCCATAGGTGACAATGCGACGAAGTTGATAACTTGGAGGTGGATGTGGCAGTGTGACGGTGGAGGTGGCTCTATGGCAGATGGTGATGGTGTGACAGGAGGAAGTAGTGGTTTTTGAGGTGAAGACAATGGATGACGGGGGCAAGATGGGCAAAAATCAACCCATATTACTTGGTCCACTCCTATATAAGTAAATAACTAAATAGGACTTCTATTTTGGAAATTAAACTTTTTATTTTATCCTTATATTAAAATAAATCTTTGAATTGCATGACTTCGAGCCACGTGGATAGTTAATGGTCCTCCGTAGTTAAGGAAATAAATTGACTCAGCCTTTGCTTGATTTCTTCAATTCTTGTGTGATTGTTCTATTAACATATAGACTTAAAAGAACTTTTTTAAGTAAGAAACGAGAAATGGTAAAGTTGTTTGGGTCAGAAGTCGAAACCCATACCAGGTTTTAAAGAATAAAGATTACTAGTTATTACTACTCCCTCCGTTCCATAAAACCCTTCCTTTTTCATTTTTTTACTTTCCACAAAACACTTCCACTTTCTATTAAAAAACTACTTTTACCCTTACTTTTTCATACCCTACGTATCACATCATACTTTTTCACTAATAACCAAACTATCACATCTTACTTTTTCCCATCACATCAGGGACAAAATTGGAAAGTCAAGCAAAATTACACTTTCCTTATTTTTTACCTAAAGTCAAAACCGGAAGGGTTTTGTGGAATGAGAGAGTATATGATATGAAGGAATATATTGTAGTCCAATCTCCAATACCCAAATGGCACATGATAAAGATAATGTTTCGGTCATCGAACTGATCTGAGTGGCCCAAAGCAAGCCCGATAAATTTGCACTGGACCGGATCAAAGTTATCAAACTAATGTACCCACATCAATGTGTCTTTATAATTTATATACACTGTAATGCGGCCCAATAAAACTTCATTATAAATTAAAAGATTTGATTGAATTTTTTTTATTTTTAATCTAACTTATTTTAATAATGGTATATATTTAAATTAGAATTTATACATTTAATTAAATTACATGAAATGCTTTGTAAAACTAGATGTGGCCATATTTAACTGTGACAAAAACATGTTCAAAAGAAGAGGAAAATGATTGACAAATGAATAATGTATTGAGACTTCAATGTTGAAATAGATGGAATACTTAATATTTACCCAAATTATACTAAAATAATTTATTTATGTTTTAACATTTAATTTTGAATTATAGCTAAAGACATTACGACTACTTCCTATATACCTTCATCATAGTGTAATAGTCAAGTTTAATCTTTTTGAGTTAACCAAGATAAATTTTAGATCTTAATTAACGGAAAATTGTAATGTTTTTTTTTTTCAAAAAAAATTGTAATGTTAATGAGTATAAAAGTGATTATTGATAATTTTGAACTGATAACTGAGTTCTCTGTATATTACATCATAACTCTAAACATGATTTTAGTTATATAAAAATATAATTATTTCTTCTAAACAAATTTTAATCATTTATATTTAACTCTTTTACATTTTTCGACATTTTTGTAAAATTAAATTGAATATTGAATTTATTTTGTGTGGATGGTATTTATTATTCCGTACTTCAAATTTGGGTAGAGTGGAATTTGAGAGGCAAGGTCGTGTTTGGAAGACTTTTAGTTCGGTCATTCTCTCTCCAATGATTCTATTTCAGCAATAATTATTATTATTATTATTATTTGAGTAATTTAGGAAAAGGTCAAAGGGCACTATGTACATGCACCAACCGCGCACGCCTCTCCAAAAGAAAACACACTTTCCCCTTCTTCTTATCCACGCCTCTCCATCCATATATTCCCATTATGATTTATATGAAGATTTGTACTAAAATTGCTTTTAATTATATTCATTTAAATACAGATACAAATAAATTTTCAAAATTTTTGGTGAATAATTAAAATAACTGACAAGAATTTCAAGTTAATCAATAATTAAAGGAATGAAAAATTTTGAGAAAAAAATATATAGTTTAAGCATGTCGATAGTTTACATTTCAACATAAAACATTTTTTTTTGTTGGAGAGAAATAATGTAAGTAGTATACTTTTTAAGAAACAAGAATCCACTGAAATCCCACAGGGTGAGGGAGAGATTAGAAGTAAATCTCAAGATTTACCTCTAATTCCATAATCATCATTTTTTACTAGCACTTTTTTGACACATGAACGATGTTAATGTAATGTTAGCCAAAGCATTAAATAGGGGAGTATTGAATATAAATGTATATACCCATTTTTCGATCACTTTTCCGGCAACTTTTTCCTTCATTTCAATTTGTTGGTGCACAGTTCAACCGCACTAGACGTTGCACGTTAGCGATTTTATTCTGGAAGGGGATCGTTCATGTTAGCCAGTGCGGATGGATGGCAGGCAATACTTTCCTAAGGAAAGCTCAGGTGTGTGACTCCGCTTTCTTTATTCGTTTGGCTTCCGATATCCGGTGTTCTTCTATTTATTTTATTTCATTTCTTCATTGTAAATTCCGAACTATTTATTTTTTTTCCTTTCCCGCTATGATCTCTTTTAACTACATCATCTGGTTCATTTTGCGCGGCAAAAAACCTTCACATTTCACACCCCTACTCACCCAAGGAAACTCAACGACTACGCATAGCCGAATACCATTAATTATTGAATTAGATTGTCCCTCTCCCACAACCTCATATGGGAGATGTTTCTCCTAGTTTTCACAGTTTTAATACTCCGTAATTGAGAGTGTTATGTCAAAAATGTTTAAATGGCAAAGAAAGCTACCGCGTGAGAAAGATAGGGATAATAAACGAAAGGAATACTAATCTATGAGAAGATCACGGAAAATCAAGATTTTGAGGACCATACTAATCAATAATCTCAAGTCCTCACCCACTAGAATAAAACAGTAAAGCAAAAGGCGGACCCACTCCCACCACAGACTACACTTTTTCTTTTCTCTTTCTAATTCTAATAAAATAGTATGAATATTTGTATATACAGATGGAATATACATACATAAAATAGTGCAGCAGCCTACAATAGGTGCCTTTGACAATTTGCCATGGTATGGCCAGCAACATCTTAATTTGGTTATTTTAAAAAACACAGGAATACACCATACCAAACAGGGTCTTTAATAAAACAAAATAAAACTCAAGTGAAAAAACAAAGGTTGTGGCCCCCCTGACATCTGACTCTGACTTCCACTCTAACAATGTTCAAAGAAAGGATGAAGGGGGGAAGGGACATTCTGGGAGGAATAATTAACCTTGGGTCACCCCACCCCAAATGTGACACCAACTCTCACCTCACATTCTTACAGACACTCTGAATAGTACAGGTGTTGTCAGTGGATGTCTGGAAGAAGATGGGGTGAGAGGTGTGCGTGGGTGGCCCTTTTTTTCTGGGAGTGTCAGATTTTCTACGAGTGAGGGTGAGTTTCGGGTTTCAAGAAGGTGCTGGTGTCAGGTGGCAGAGAGTGGTAGATGGCGGAGGCGAGGGAGATGGGCATGATACAGAGTGCCTTGGACTGAAGAAACTGCATTGCTGCCCCAACGTTCTCTTCCATCAGTTTCGCAACCTGTCGTTCCGTGCCATCGCTTGACCATTTCTCCCACGCAGGTTGACTTTTTCCTGCTTCGCCGCCACCCTCTTCCTACAAAGAATATGGAAGGAAAAAGTTCCATCAAATGTGTGTGTGTGGTGGGGGGGGGGGTATTATTAGGCCTATCCCATTCTTGCGGGCTATTTACCTCAAGCAATGAAATTGGCATGTCCGTAACTAGTGGTGCTACCGCACCAGCTCCCCCCAATCTGCTCATGCTCAACACCTGTAGTGCAGGGCACATTTGATTACACAAAGAAAAGTTTATGCTATGGCTCGGTTCGATTTGTTAAACGCCTGTAAAATTAGTAGTTTTTGGCTTATTTATACACCGTTGGGTACCATTTATGCCACCGAATGTTTTTCTTTGAGCACAACTCAATAAATTCAGTCATCTCAACAAATTAACCTGCTTACCAAAACAGTTGGATCCGAATAAGTAACTCCACCAACGGTCCAGGTTGGGTATGGAGGAATGGAGTACCTACCCCCCACCAGACCCATGATAATGCAAAGTAGATTCCATCCAAAAGATAAGTGCAGAACATATTTTAAAGTTAAGTGTAGCAATTACAGCCATGTCTTCTATTCTAAGGATCAGAATGAATCTTCATTGTCCTAGATGATTGATGGTTTCTATTATCAGCCCACAAAAAGCCATTATAGACAAGACATAGAGAGCGCACAACAGAAAATATCTTCAGAAACCACAAACAATCACACGAAAAGATCTCAAAGCGAGCCATGTAGGCCGGCATACCTTGACTTGAAGTCTAAGGAACTTCACATACTCCACAATTTCATCAAGCATAACTGCTCTATCAGTCTGCATACAGAAAGGAGAACGAATAATATAGCCTAAGAACAAGCTTCAAACCAAGTGGTACACTCTCATGGTGTAACCGGAGCTTATGGAGGGTTTTACAAAAATATAGAAGAGCTGACCTTATTAACACTGGGAACCAACTCCTGCAATGCTCTAATTCTTTCTGCTATTCTTTCTCTGCGTAACTGCGGGCAAAGTGAATAAATAATTACTCGTAAACAAATAGGCTAGTGGCCGGTCATACGCACTACATGAAACAAAAGATCATCAGATGTATACGAGGCATACCCTCTCAGCAATACTGTGTGGATCAGTTGCCTGGCCTCGCCTTGCCCGCACCCTTGGTCGAACCGTGGGTGGATGTGGCATGGCAGGAACTGAACTTGGCATCAGCTGGCCATGGTATCCCTGTAAATATATAATCGAAAACTGTGATACTACGGATATTCCTCGCACCAACTTTGTGTATGTGATACCATCATTTAACCATGAAAACCCAATCTTTTTCCTAAACTCTTGTTTGATTTATGGAAGAAATAGTGGAAAATAGGGAAGATTTTGTGTGTTTTTTGGTAGGAGAGAAATGAAGAAGATATGAATAGAAACTGGGAGAATCATAAGAGGATGGTATGATCCTTAATCTCAACTTCTCTCCTTTCCATTTCTCCCAAAACAAACAAAGCCTGAATTTCTAAAACCTCATGACCTAGTTGCAGGCCACTCAAACATTTCAAGAAATAGGACATCAAATTCAACAAGTCGAAATAAAATTCCAGCTATGTAACGATATGTGCAATTAATTCCTAGGGCAAAACCCATCGCTTACAGGTTTCATAGAAGACGAGGGTCTGCAATCCATCTTCAAGCTATTACCAGAAACATCGTTCATCTTCATAAACTCCCCTCTCCCCTGCTCCAAACTCAGCCCCAGCGGGAACGGGGCACCGCCTACGTGGAAAGGAGCCCCGATCCCTCCGAGCCCCATCCCGATCCTAAAACCGCCGAGGTGAGCGGAGCCGTCCCCGGAGCCGAGCTGGAGCATCATCGGAGACGCTGAAGGCGTTCCCGCCAAATTGGGGTCAGCGGCTGCGGCGGCGTATGTTGGAAACCCTAGCATTTGCTCGAAGAAGTCTTCGGATGATCCGTCCGACGGGTTGTTAGACATTCCGGCGACCGGAGGACCGATTAATTTCTTGCTGGATTGACGGGCTCGGAGCGGCTTGGCTCCCCAAAAGCATCCACCAGTGAGGTTCGATTGCGCTGTAAATTTGATATATGTATCCGCCGGTAAGCAGCTATCTATAAGAGAGAGAGAGAGAGAAAAAGTTGCTTCCTTTTAGTTTCCACAGAGTAGTGAGAGCGGGGAAGAAACAAGCGCAAATGGTGTCGCCGAAAGCTTCTTGTCTTTGGCTTCAAGTAGTTTAAACTTTAAAGGGTCCTCCTTTATATTAATAAAAAAAAATACTATCCTACCCCACAATATAAAAAAACTTTTTTTTTAAATAAAAGTCTGAATTTCCGAAGCTAACTTCTACTAAGAAATAGAGAGAGGTGTTTTTTGAAAATAACATCTAATTCAAATAATATATTTAACAAAAAAACACAAAAATTGACCATGATAGCAGACATATAGAACAAAAAAAGAACATAGAACAAATTAAAAAAGGAAAAAGCTATTGTAAAAAAATAAGTGCATGGTTAATCCACCGTGGCCGGTCGATCAACGACCAGAGCCTCTCGAGCTCTAACAACTCACTTGAATTAACCATGGTGATTTTGATGTTATATTGTGGCGAGTTTTGTCTTTCACGTTTACAATTTCACTTGAAAATTGATGTCATCTCACTGTAAAGCTGAACTTTACGTACCTAAGTTCGATAATACTCCCTAATAGGTATTACTTTGGTGTTTTGTCATGAGACTAAAATGTAAGACACATTAGTGAAAAGCAGGATAATAATAGGCACAAAAAAACTAGTCAACCAAGAGTGACACAAAACATAAAAAATATGTAACGGCCCCTAAACTAAACAACTCTTACCCCTAGTAAAATTACACATTGTTAGGGGCATCACTCCTATTATGCAACAATCCGTCTTCTCTTGAAGGATGCCATCTTTGGGCCAAGAACAACAATGTCCTTTCTCTCACCATGATGATGATGACGATGATGTCTTAACTTCTTCTTCCTCCTCGTAGATCCAAGACGCCTACCTTGAACCCGAACCCCAACTTCTCCTCCGCCAATATAAGGGCGGTGATGGTGGCGGCGGCGGCTATGTGGGCAACGTTCAGAGATGCTGACACCACCGTTAGGGGCAAAAGAGCCGTCAATGTTGCCGGATTCAATGTCCGCAAAGCGGTGGCGGCGCCTGTTCACACGCTCGACTTGTGTGAGTTTATGCCAGAAGAAACACGCCATACACCCCATTGCAGACCAGTAAGCCTTACAGGCTGAGCAATACACTCCGCAGATAGTTCTCCCTAAGCATTGGCATATCCCCAGCTTGAAGAACATGTAGAAGAACAACAAAGCTGAACAAGAAAAAACATGGGCAAATGGAATATTAAAGCAAAAAAGAGAGACTATATCACTATTGAATACTCTCATAAGTAAAAAAATTTGTTATTTGAATCTATGTATTAGGGGGCGGTTCCCATGACATTGCTAAGTAATATCATTGATGACCCGAGAGCCATACGATACCCTATTCGTAAAATTGACGATTCTTACCCCTAACTCTCTCGATAAACCCTCTACTCTCACCCCTTCAATTGCACATCCAAATTTATTTGACTCTGGTCAAGTTGGGGTGCAATTGAAAGGGGTTTATCTCAAGGGTAGGGGTATGTATTAGTGTATTTCGACGAGGGCCTTTATGCCCTAAACAATTTCTCCAAATTGGGAAGGATTAAACAGAAACAACAAATTAAAAGAGGGATTATCTGGGAGTATTATATTACTGATGTAGCATAGAATCAAAATCATGAACAGCTTCATCAAATCAGAGACGCAGAGATGAGTGATGAAGCACGGGACATCCCATACTCCGGCGCACACGTCGCTGCAAAATCCAAAACCCAAACAGGAGAATTTCTATAAGAAACCATAAAATTTCGGATTCAATTGCGAACAATAATAGTGATAAAATTGAAATTCTATCCGGAGAAGGAAAAAGGGATAGATACTCGCAAGATCCTTGTAGAACGGCCTTGAAAGGAGCCGCCAACGCATTTCCGATGCCGTCGCCGGCCTTACTCAGAACACTCCCCATTTTCTCTGCAGAATCGCTACCTCTCTCTCATATGTGAACTTCCATTTCGATCGGATTCTGATTATAATACCAGTCCGAGCACGGAGCATCCCTGCGGCGGTTCTCTACTCTTTTTTTTCCCGCGTTTGTTTAGGAAGGAAGGGAAAGGGAATAAAAAAAGACAAACTGAACAAACTTTGAGCTTTAATAAAGAAAGCGTTCGTCCCAGTGTATTTGTCCAGTTTGATTTTTTCAAGTCAAGCTGAACAAACTTTGAGCTTTAATTAAATAAAAACCGTAATGTGTTTTAACATAAAAATGACCTTATTGGATTTATTGTATTGATAACTTTCAAAATTGTATTTCATTATATTAATTTGCAATATAAATTGAGAGTAATTAGAGTTCAAAGTTTGTCCAATTTGATTCGAAAAAATCAAACTGGACAAATACACTGAGACGGAGGTAATACTTATCTTCCATATTGTGTGATAAAAACTCTCAAATCTTATCGTTTTTTAAAAATATATTTTGGGGTATATTAAAATATGTGAAAACTAACTTTGGAGAAACTTTTAGTCCATCACTCTGTCATCTTTATTTGTGCCATTAATTTTTCATCATTTTCTTCTAAAAAATTGCTTCTGGATACTTCTTTATTTTGTAGAAAAAACCTTCAGATCTACATGTTTTGAAAAATATACTTTGGTGAATCCTAAAATAACAAAAAACTTTCACAAGACATCACTCGTTTGGATACTTCTACATGTTTTGAAAAATATATTCTGGTGTAATCTTTCACAAGACATCACCGGTCGATTCAACTCAAATTTTCTAACTCGATTCCATCTATTCTGATCAATTTTTTCGATCTCATTCTTTTTGTTCCTCTCTCACACTAGGATACATTAAGAAGACAACAATTTCGGAGTTGACATCCATGAAGCAATCAATACCCATTGAAGACATCTTTTATCAAACCAAAAATGGAAAAGAATGTAGAAAATGGACGCACTTTCCACGAAAAAGGAGTTGACATTAATCAAATTAACAATCAATACCTATTGAAGAAATTTATTTTCTTTGTATTTATTAGAAGACTTAAATGGTAAGACTTATGATTTTCTTAGTGATTGCATTTAGCCATTCACACTCTTATATTCACAATGACCACAATGAACTCAATTGAATTGAAGTTATTTGTAAATCTAGCATTACTCATTAAAGATTGATACACCAACAAAAATATTACATTACGGAGTGTTTTGAAAGATTTCTCAAGATCGAGAGTGCTTCTAGTCTCTTCAAATCCCTGAATAGATAATCAATTAGAGTCCTTTTAATGAGAATTGAGATATACAATAACTGATATAATAATATATATGGTGATGAAGATATCTGTGACCTGGAACAAAATTAGACCGTTAGATTTTGGACCTTTAGCCACTACAGAAACGTGCCAAATTTGAACGGAAACATTCGCAAAATCAATCTCGCAAACATGATTTTTGCGACAGATTTTTTTGCACTGGCGCAGATTGCAACAGAAACTCAATGCCTGTCGCAGATTTTTGAGTATTTTCGAATATATACTGAACTATCCAAGTCAGTGACAGTTTTTATTCTATCGCAAGCAGCCTCTAGCAAATTGAGCGAATACTTGTAGTGAGCATACATTGATTATCTATAGATAATGTGCTCATTGATACATGAGGTGTTTTCTCTGTGCTAATGTTTATTGACTTATTGTTGATAAAAGTTTTTAACGTATAAACTACTTATAAGACAAATATAAATTCATGGAAGTAAAATGAGTGAAATGATAGATAAATCATTTGGAAATATTTATAAATGGAGAGGTATAGTTTTGTAAATAATCTTGTCAAAACGAAATAAACAAAAAAAATAGTTTAAAAATAGGCAAGTAAGACTTATTTATTTTTTCTGGCATATAAACAGATTATAAATTAATTTATAAGCATAGAGAAACATGTTATTAATTGACCTAATTAAAAATAAAGATTACTTATAAAAAAATTTGACCAACTTATAAACACAGAAAAATACTCCGTAATAGAATATGTTTAATACATTAAAAAATAGATGCGCCAGGTTGTAGCATAGTTTGTCTAATTGTCTATGCGAAGAGACGGCTTTGCAAGTTGCTCGAGAGAGCATTACGCCTCTAGACGCAACATATTTATCACAATTAACATGATAGATTCCTTTAAATAATAACAAAAGCAATTTGGATACACCAAAGTGACATTTAAATAGACAAAATAAAGGTATATGCCTGCACAAATATTAAAAAATAATTAAAAAAAAATAACAATCATGTTGTTTATAAAATATAAATACTAACCTCATGGTTTTAGAATATGTAGTCTTGCTAGATCCGACTGGGTTATTGTCGTTGTTGTAACTTTTTTTAGTTAAACATACTCCGTATTATTTGGAATCAAGGTTCGTTTTAAATAAATTATACAAGCTACTAAAGAAATAGTATAAATTTTGAAATCTAAAATGAAAATATTTCGAGAGATCTAAAATAATGTGACATGCAAGAGATGGCCGAGGACAATGTGGTGATTGACAACGATAGTGGGTGGGTGGCGCTGAAAGAAGATATCAAACCTCCAATATTTTTCAAATTCGGGACATATCAAAAGTTCATCCTTATTTGAAAGGGTTGTTATACTAGTAAACATCAAATCCAAACCTTGTTTAGACTTATCAAATACCCAAATATCATGAAGTATTAGAATCCAATCTCATGCTCTTATAATGAGACTTGCCTTATTTAGTTCAAAACTCAAAGACTCTTTTGGTGATAAAATAATAAACATGACAAAATGAATAAATGAAAGCCATATTCAGCCTATCATGATATACAGTCCTTTTCTCCTGTAAATACCAAACCTACAACACAATCAATTTAGTAACACTACCACTTTAAATCTTTCCCACAAACATAACATTCAACTAAACAAAAGTCCCACATTTGTGTTCAAGGAGCTGAAACCACTTGGATTGACTGCAATGCAGCTGACGTGGTCACAACAGTGTCGCCCGATTTTATCATCCCGTTCTCCCTCAGGAAAACAAACGCCCGACTCAAATCGTGCTCCAAGTTGTCTGATAACGAAAGCTTCAATGGCGTTACGCCCCACTGCAAGTTCAGACATCTTTGGACAGATGCAGATTGAGTGAAGGCGAATATTGGGCAGTTTGGTCGGCCACGAGACAGAAGGGATGCCATTTTACCCGTTCTTGTGAAAACAACAAGCGCATCTGCTTCCAAGCTGTTGGCTGTGAATAATGTAAGAAATGATGTATACGAAGAATACACAGTTAATGTCACATTAATTAAATGAAATCAAACCAAAGTGCTAATTAACTTTTGAAAACACTAATGAAAGCTACCATTGAATAACATTTTCAAATCGTTAAAGCTAATGCCAAATGAATGCTTTTGAACAGTAATAATAGTTCTCTATGAAGTTAAGAAAGAGCTATCAAGGGAAAACTTACCCATATTTATGGCAGCATTGCATAACTCTTCCTGTATGCTTCCAGGAAACAGATTCGTGTCGTAAAACGGTTCAGCAGATTCCTTACATCTTTCATCTCTCAACCATTTCTCTATTCTAAAACTGACACTTCTCAGAACAGATAATGCTTTCACAGGGAATTGTCCCATGGCTGATTCACCAGAAAGCATAAGGGCATCAGCTTTCTGCTTTACTGCTTCAGAAACATCAGCAACTTCAGCTCGGGTCGGTATAGGGAATTCAATCATGGACTCAAGCAGCTGTGAAGCAACAATTACAGGTTTGTTCATCCCTCTGCAAAGGTCAACAATCTGCTTCTGCACTGATGGCACTTGCTCCAATGGTATTTGAGCACCGAGATCTCCTCTGGCCACCATAACCCCATCTGATGCCTGAATGATATCTTGCAGATTCTTCAAAGAGTCAACACTCTCTATCTTTGCAATTATAGCTACGCTACTGCAGTTTTACATCAAAGATAATTTTAGATAATTGCGAGCATGACTGAATATGAGAATACAATTCCTATGAATGAATTATCAAGTCGTGAAAAACCCGTTCGGTAATGTCTAAATGGAATGAAGTGCTTGAATCTACTAAATATGCTGAAAATGTGGTTGGAATGGCTAAATAAACTGAGCCTAAAAATACTGTATTTTAATGGATTAAAGAAATAAATATTTAAAAATTCAGCCTTTTCCGTGCAAATAGTTAGTAACTTCTGCATTACTTTATTTCATTAGCAGCCAATTCAACCAGTTCATTAGCAACTCCAATAGAATATGTCAGTGCTTTGTGAAAAATCTTGTCGATTAGGGGCTGACGAGACATTAAAATGCCCATAAATCAGGCACTAAATAAAACAGAAATATTGAAATTTGGTAACAACATAATCTGAATGCTTACTTCTCATGAGTGTGTGAAGCAACATAACTCTTCAAGTCATTTATCACATCAGCACTTCTCACAAATGACACTGCAATGAAGTCAACCCCTTCTCTGATCCCAAAATCTATGTCAAGCCAATCCTGCAAACGCAAGAAACCTCATAAAAAGCTATGGAGTAGTATATGTAATGTAAGACACAGCTAATTAGATTATTTTGCATTTTGAAAATTGGTTAATCATGAAAAAAGTAAACGACAATGTTTCTTTTAGCTGAAGTTGCTAAAGGTGACCGTTTACATTTTTTCAATAAAAATTGTGAACTTAAAATATACTCATGTTTTTTTAATATAATTGAGCAATTTCAACAATGTTTTCAACAATAATCACAATAACAACCAAATTTAACCAATCAAACAGGCTCATGTATCACTCACCTTAGAAGAAATGGTTGGGAGCATAGCATTACGCTCTTGAACAAGTCTACCCTCCCTCCAGATGGTAAGGTTGGCACACGGCAACAACAACCCAGGATCACTGCAACAACATTTGACATCTGGGCCCATCTTTTCTACAACCTCAAACCTTGCCATCCCACCATCCACCACGATTTCATCTCCAATGTTAACATCTGCATTCTCAACCAATAAGGTGACCATTTTAGGATCGATAAATAAAACTCGGCAATAGCTAATATTATGTGTTTTGTGTGTAACTGTTTGATTTTTCGCAAACCAACCTTCTGAGAAGCCGTCATAATTCACAACAACAGTATGTTCCGGCAGAGATGAAGAACATGACCTCACAGTGAAGGTCCAAACATCGCCGTCCTAATTGTAATAAAGGACATATCACCATTCCATAAACAAAATATTAAAACTTGAGATCCCTAAACCTCCAATGGAAACAAGAAAAGTTCCCCAAATTTATATGCAAAGAGAGAAATTGAAATCACACCAATGTACCTCGGCCTTAATTGAGGTGGCACCACCAAGATCACCCAAGTGAATCTCACTTCCCTCAGTGTCCATCATGATGGCAATGGAGAAGCCCATCTCGTCGTTGAGCATCTTAACATTCTCTATCACGCGTCTATGCCATTCGTGGGTCCCGTGGCACATGTTCAATCGGGCAACGTTCATTCCATTGACGGCCAGTTCCTGCAACTCGGGGAACCCGCAAGTGGCAGGGCCAATGGTGCAAACCAGTTTCGTCATCCGGGAAGCATTCTCCTTCCGCTCATCTGGTGGAGCAGCCCTAGTCACCTGAACCACTGGCCTCAGGACCAGACGCGCCGTGTCGGGAACATCGCCGGTGACGGTTGTTTTGGCCGATTGAGTCTCGACGGCATGGGAATGGGTCGCCGAGACTCTTTTCCGCGAGTCAACGATGAGGTATGGATTCCGATCGAGCACCTTCGATATGCTTCTGGTGTGTGTTGGAGAAATACACGCCGAGAAGCTAAAAGAGAGCGACATTGTCTCCTCCGCCGCGAATTTCGGTGCTCACCGGGATCGGTGAAGGAGACGATCGGGTCGGTGAAGTTATGACAGAGCTCCGGCCAGGTGGGGAAGCAGGGGGGGGGGGGGTGATTGAGGGTTTAGGTTTAAACTGATTAAGCTCTACGTAGTACTCCGTACATCCCACAACGAAGAACATCTTCTCATGAGACCCACACATTAATATTAGTACAGTGCTCTCGAAAAAATTTCTATTTTGATTTCAGAAATTTACCTAATATTAAAACATAATGACTTTCCCAATATAGGACTATATGTTTTTATTTTCCAATGTAGGACCTTTGGTCATTATCAAGTAGTCATTATTCAACTAAATGTCCATCATTACTGGACATTATTCCTCCCACTAGGTCATTATTAAGTCATATTTAGGAATAAAAAAGTTTAAGTCCTACATTGGGAAAGTCATTATGTTTTAGTCTTATTTAGTGCAAATTTCACTTTTGGTTTTTATTACTCCCTCCGTCCCGGAGTATTCGTCTAGTTTTGACTTTTGGAACTGTTCATCTAAGCACTTTGACTCATCAAATTCTCTCAATATGTAAGCCTAAATATAGTCATGTGTGATCTTGTTTGATTTGTCTTAACATATAGATTATTAATATATAATTTCTATAATTTTTTAATATACAGATTACAAGATAAAATAGATTAAAGAAATGCATTGGATGGTATGTAAAAATGAAAGTGAAAAAATACTCTGGGACATAGGTAGTAATTAAATTTTGAGATTCTTTAACCAAATACTCCATATTAAACATAATTTGAACAAGTAAATGTCACTCCTATAAAAATTTGAGACTCTTTAATTTAAAAAATGTTGCTGTTTGACAAAAAAAATTAAAACATGAAAAGTTTTCTGGGACGAAAATAATATTTTTCTAACTAGCAATTTATTCATCTTTATTTGAAAAAAAAATGGAATAAAATTAAATAGGACTAAAATATTAAAATAAAATTGTAGAGATTTCACAAATAGCTTTTGAATATAGAGGTTTAAATGCCACTTTTGTAAACCATGATGGTTATTCATGGTATTAGCCTTAAGTTTTTATCTCCTACTCCGTAAAAGTTTTGACATTCTGTAATGCCACGACTTAATACTATATTTTGACATTTAAAAGTAATTTTTTGCATTATACTCCTAGGAGTACATTAATTATTTTTAGATATTATAAGTTTTATTTTGGAAATTTCCATCATCTCCAATTGATCCAAAAATACACTGTTTTTTTTTTGGCTTTGAGGTGTGATGGAATAAAAAAATGGATCTCTAACACTATGTTTGGTTCAAGGAATTTTGAAGGAAAAGAAAAGAAAATGGTTTTCTCTCATTTTTCTCACCAAAATGGGAGGAATTTGGTTTTCCCTCCACTTGGTACATTTTGCCTTCTCATTCTCTTTTCCTTCCACTTTTCTTTTCTAACCAAACAAGAAAATTTTTTTTCCACTTCATTTTCTTTTCTTTTCTCTTTTGAATTCCTTGAACCAAACATAGTGTAAATGTTCTATCTACTTTCGAGTTGGGGTGATATCTGCGTCCACACACCTCCTCAGACCCTATTCTTGTGAGGTTCAACTGAGTTGTTGTAAGTTTTGTTTTGGTATAAAAGTATTAAAATTTTATTTAGATATAAATAAATGAAGCAATTTTTAGTTCTTAATAGTTTTTCTTTTGATAAATAGTTAAGTTTCACTTTTCAAAACACAGAATGATTCAACTCATTGTAAACTTTTGTTTTTGTCAAAGGTCAACACACCAAAATAACTTGGTTATTTTGGTTAATGAGCAAGAACTGCTACTATTGACATTCAATTCACCAAAAATCTCCACAAGAACAAGCCCCATTCCTGAAGTGGTGAAATCTTTTCGCATCTCTCACTATAATTTCCCGATCGAGTACCTTCGAAGCTAGCTTGATGAAATTATGACAATCACCGCAGACGCGGAGGTTTTTCATGATACGTATTTGGGTTTTAGAGTCTGTAACAAGTAGAGCACAGGCAATGGCTAGCCTCTCACTGTGCCCATTAAGAAGCCGAACTTTCTCTCTCTCCTCCACATTTTGGAAGACGTGTTTGGTTTGCGCAACATAACCTCCTTCCCTCTCTAGTTTCTTGGTGACAAAAGATAATTTTTGGTAAATCTCATCGCGCCGTGGATGAGACTTGTCTTGGGCCACAAACGTGTGAACCTCATTGCCGATTTCGGTCCAACTACAAGCGGGTTCTTTCTTCATTCCTTGCCCTTTCATTGTTGTCCTCACTTCTTCTGCATCATCCCACCTATTCCCAGAAGCATATAAATTAGACACAAGCACATAATTTCCGGGATTCTCTGGCTCTAATTCTAGAAGCTTCTTTGCAGCAATGACTCCTAGTTCTTTGTTAGAGTGCACATGACAAGCATGAAGAAGAGCACACCAAACAGCAGCAGTTGGTTCTGGTTTCATCGTTCTCAACACTTGAAAAGCTTCCTGCAAGTGATTTGCGCGTCCGAGGAGATCAACCAAACAGGCATAGTGTTCAGGCCATGGCTCCAAATTATACTTTCTCTCCATTGTCTCAAAAACCATCTTGCCTTCCTCCACTAGGGCTGAATGGCTACACGCGTGAAGAAGAACCAGAAAGGTGATGTGATCAGGAACGATATTTTCTTCCTCCATCTTTAGGAATAAGCCAATTGCTTCAACTCCACGTCCGTGCATTCCATATGAGTTAATCATGCTTGTCCACAGAACAAGATCTCTTTCGTTTACAGCAGAAAAGATCTTGAATGAGTCCTCTAGTGTCCCACAACAGGCATACATATCCAGAAGAGAGCTTGCTATAGAGCCCTTTAAAGGGTAACCTTTCCTGATTAAGTATCCATGAACCTCCCGTCCTCTCCTTAAAACTGATAGACTAGTAGCTGCAGAGATCATACTCAGGACTGCAACGTAATCGAGCTCCATACCCACTTCTTTCATATAAAGCACGAGGGCAAGAGCGTCATTTGCAAGGCCGTTGTGTACAAAACTACGCATCATGCTAGTCAAGGACACGACATCTTTGACACCAATCATCACAAAAATGCGCCTAGAATATTCTATGTTCCCGCAATCCCCATAAACACGAATTAGGGTTTTCTGCGTGACAAGATCATATAGCCCTCTTCTAATTGAGTAACCGTGAACTTGTTCTGCAACTAAATTGAGCCTCAACTCACCACATGCAAGGAGAACGCTTCCAATCATCAATGCATCAATGTCAATTCCTTCCAACTGAACCTCCCGGAACAGTTGCAGAGCCTGTAGGGGGTAATAGCAACTCTGAGCATATGCAGAAATGACAGTTGTCCAAGAAATATTGTCCTTATGGAGTATTCTGCGGAAGGCACGGTCCATATAATCTATCTGCCCACACTTCGCGTACATATCTACAAGGGTGTTTCCGATTTGCAATTCTCCATCCAAACCACGTTTCAGGGCAAACGCGTGAGTTTCCTTTCCGTGTAGCAAGTCTCCCAATCTTCCAGATGCAGAGAGCACACTCATGAGTGAAACACAGTCAGGTTTCCTCCCTGAATTATTCATTTGGTGAAACAAATCAATACCTTCAACAAAAAGACCATTTTGTACATAACCGGATATCATAGAGTTCCAACAAATATTGTCTTTCTGATCAACACCATTAAATATTTGTGCAGCTTCATGCATTTTATTGTTCCTTATATACATAGCTAGTAGAGCATTTGAAACATAAGCATCAAGACAATGACCGGATTTTATTACAAGAGCATGAACCTCTGTGCCAAATGTCCCAGTGAATGGCTCCTTGCAGGCCTGTAAAGTAGCCACAAGAGTATATGTACTTGGATTCAAACCAGCTATCAGCAATTCTATGAAGAGACTTAAAGCTTCCTCTGTCATCCCATTTTCAGAATAAGCTGAGATGATAGAATTCCGTGACACAACATCATCTCCGCGACCCGTTCTGTCAAATATGAGCCTTGCCGAGCTGAGATCATTGCACTTGGCATACATATCCACAAGAGAGTTCACGACAAAAATATTAGACGTAAAACCCAATTTTAAAGCCAGCCCATGAATCTCACTCCCACAACTTAAATCCCCAATTTCAACGCATGCCTTCAATGCACAAGGAAAAGTATGTGCATCAGGGGGGACGCCCAAAGCCCGCATTTCCTCATACACCTTAAGTGCTCTCAAGGGTTCGCCGTTATTCACATAAGCTCCAACTATAGCATTCCAGGTGAAAATAGTTCTCTCGGGCATTCTATCAAACACCTTCCCAGCATCCTCCGCCGACCCACACTTCCCATACATGCACACAAGTTTTGTGTTCAGGAACACCGCATCATGCACCCATTTCGACTTCAAGAAATGGGCATGAATCTGCTTGCCGCAGGAGAGTTCCCTCTGCGCAGCACAGAGTTCAATTGCCAACGAGTAATGCTCGTCTAAGCAAGTAGAAATGGGGTTTCCCTGTGAAGTTAACACGCCCAAAGATGCGAGTGCTTCTCTCAAGTTCCCTTTCCAGGAAGCGGCTTTAATGGAAGAGGTTTTAGTGGGTTTTGCAGAGGTTTTGGCCGCCCTGATAGGCCGAAAATTCTGGGATTTTGCAGCTGCTGGGTTTGATAATGAGCTTAAGCATGAGGTCGGTGATAGGATATGGATGGGGACATCCATAGCTCAGTCATGGCTCAGGTTTGATAAGGATTAATCTTCGAGCCATTTTTTTTAGTGCGAAGGTTGCCTAAAAGTCAAATCCATACTGCTTCCTTCTCAAAATTTTCTTTTTTTTCTCCAATGTATTAATTTGTGTATTAATATCTGTTTTAAACACAACTTTATATCATAAATATATGATAGTTTTAAACATTAATTCAAAATGATATCTCTTATATTAAATTTGTATCATTATTGAATATTTTTTTTCTATATTTTATAGTTAAAATTAGAAATTTTAATCAAGAAAAAGCAAACAGAAAAATAATTCTGTGAGGGAGAAAGGAATAAATTTCACAATTATTTTATACACCTTAATCAATGTATTGATATTCTATATGTGAATCCTGAGAACACGGAAAAATAATCTATTAGTGAAGATACTTATAATCTATTAGAAGTGTCAGAATATTTATATTTTATACTCCCTCCGTCCCCTTTTAGATTACAATATTCTCTTTTAGACAAAATTAAGAAAGAGTCAAATCAATATTTTTTTTTCCCAAATTACCCCCCAAATAGTATAAGAATGAGTGGGTGGGTGAGATTTGACATTGAAATAATAAAGGGGAGGGAGGGTAAAAGAATCAATTTAGTGTAAAAGTAAACACTTTGTAATTCTTTTTGGGACAAAAATAAGAGGGAATATTGTAATCTAATTAGGGACGGAGGGAGTATGTGAATCCTGAGAACACGAAAAAACAATTCAATAGAGACAAGAGTTAAAATATCATACTTCTTTCGTCCATTGATACAATTTGATTTTTTGATCAAGATGTGGCACCCTTCGACCACTAATTAAATATTACTCTCTCCGTCCTAATTTATAATACCTGTTTATGTTACGATGTTTGACTGAAATTATTTTCAAATCATTTTATATGACAAATGGTATAGAGTTTAAAAATAAAAATTACATATTAAAATACTACATCAAAAGATCTACAAAATTAGTAGTGACAATAGTACTTTATTTTATCAAATTACTAACTGCAATAGAGAAAAAAATTGAATGAAGTTTGATCATGTAAATAGTGAGCATTCATTATAATTTGGGACAGAGAGAGTAATATAAAATTTTGATATTTTAAAACTATATTATAAAATAAATCCAATTTTACAAAATTTATATTATAATTAAATATATTATTTTATAATTTATAGTTAAAGAGTACCACAATTTGACAAAAAAATCAAATTGTGATAAGTTTTAGGGACCGATATCTATTTTCCTAATTTATGAGTATTTTTCTCTAGTTACTCAGGTAGTGTTCTGTTCAATTTATTTTTTCTGCTTATTGCGTATTCTTATTAAAATTAGAGACCATATCAAAACCTGTTTTAATTATATCTGTAATCAAATTAGATCAAATCACATCAGATTAAACCAAATTAGATATTTAGATCCGACGAACATAATGGCAAGAATTGCACTAATTTTAAAGAGGCCAGTCGAGTGTAGACATGCCGGCCCAAAGCCCTCTATATGTTTCCCGGTGAATACTTGGCCCATCTAACTAGAATCCGCTTCAGGAATCGCCCGCTCCTCGGCTTCTCTACTCTGTAGCGATGGCAATGGAGGAATCTCTTCGCATTCAAACACTCGACCGAGTCCCGTCCGCCGAAGAGTTTGAATTCCAGATTGAACCGAAGAATGTTCCAGCTGTATCTTATAGCATTCCATGAACTCGATTTTATATGAGGATGAACTTGCAACTGCGTATGTAATATTTGTTTAATTTTTTTGGGAAGAAGGTTTTCCGAGGATGCATCAAGTACTGGAAGGCTTTATCCAACTGGAATCCCTCCAATGGCGGCCTCTCTTACTTGCAGGTTTCTGTTATTTTGAAATTTCATTGCTTTTTAACTCACTTTGAAAGCTCAAGTAGGTAGTTACTATTAAGCCTAAAGAAGTATTCTCTTCATTATAGTTACTCCTTCCGTCACAATTCAAGTTCTATGAATTATTAATTCCGCACTTATTTGCAAATAAATTTAATTGAGAATAATTTAGTCAAACCTCTTAAACAATACTCGACTATTTAAATTGAGACGGAGGGAGTATCTGTTTAAAACTCTACCCCTGTGTGCAATTCCACAATGCTACAGGATTGAGGTATTTTATCTGAACTTTGAGGCTTAGGTTTAGAAGTGATGTTCTTTGAAGAAGTTCTTTGCCAAGAGTGAAACCACAGTGCTGGAATAATAAATTTCATTTCACATGTTGTTGGTTTTGTTCCTTAGTTGTGGTGTAGAATGGACGAATAGTTATCTGAAAATATCTTTCCATTTGTTAATTGGGATTTCTGGAATTAGGAACGTGTTGGATCATCTGTTGTGGAAGTGATGCTGTCCAGATCTCCACCAGTCTTTTATGGTGACATTAGAAGTCACGAAAGGGTAACTATCACAGAGTATTACCTCTGTGTTGATTTATGTTTCAGTTTCTTTTTTGTCTTGGTTAAATATGTTCAGCTATTCTTACATTGGCATATATAATTTCTAAGGTTCCATTGCCATTCTCAACCTTCATTGGATTTTGCATGGATCATTTGCGCAATAAAGAAGATGATCCTTGTCACTCTGATAAGAATAGGTTGGAAATACCTGGCAGTGAGCAAACTGATTGTGATGTAAGAGAGGCTCAGCAATTTTATCTAGCTCAGGTGAAATGAACTCAATTGTCGAACTCATCTGTAGCAAATAACTTTTTGCAAATGTATGACAATTTTAGGCTTGCGGCAGGTTCCAATACTGAATGCTGAGAACGAAGAGGCCATACAGTTGAAGTGTTTACTTGAAGACATTGATATAGTGCGTGGGTTGCTTCTCTGCATTTATCTACTCTTGTAGTTCTGAGCCCACATTAGTATGATTTATGTTATTTTCATGTTTCTTTAGAATATCTCTGAAAAACGATTACTTTCGGCACAGCCTGAGTTTTTGCAGACAAAAAGCATCAGTTCCATCAATTTGTGGATGAATAGTGCTAAGACTAGATCAAGCACTCACTATGATCCACACAACAATCTTTTATGCGTAGTTTCTGGATGTAAACAAGGTTAGTTTCGTCATACCTTAGTAGTACTTTACATACAATTTGTAATTAATTGCAATTATTAGATCGCATTTCCGTTTTATGCACTTTGGCTTTCTCCTGGATTGGCATGGGTTGGGCCTTTAGTTTTGGATTAACGTGAGTACTAGACTTGTAGATATTAAAACTTTCAAGGAAATGGACATTTATTCATTGTTACTGCTTATTACAATCTAGAATCTTTTTTTATGATGTATTGAACTTCCTCAACCCGCATGCCCCTTGGCTCTTGATGCTCATCTATGATTTATCAGTATCAGTTGCTTTATGGTCATTTTCTTTTCATCATTACACGGTTAGTATTTTTATATGCTACTCTGTATGATATTTTAAAAGAAATGTCTCACTTGCATGGATTCAATTCTCACTCAATTATAATTATAACTATAATAATTGCAACTATATTGTGACCTTCTAGGAAATCCAGGATGTATTATCCAATGCCATCCAGGATTGTCATTTTCTAAACTGATTTTTGTTATGTGTGTCCCCATGATAATGATGATATACAATTATGGATTCACCCCTGTACTTTCAGATTATGCATACTGGTCAGATAACATGCATCATTATTTGCATATATTATCCATTGACAGATTGACTATGATTCCCCTCTTTCATCTTGCAATTATAATGAATAAACTTAGATTACTATTATTCTTCATTAACATAGGTTTCACCAAGTTGACAGTGAAGATTTAACAATTGCTGTTAACTTTTGGTGGCGATCAAAGATAATGTCTAGTATGTTGGAGCACATGGATGCATATTATATGCGAAGAATATTGAAAAGGTACTAACTGTGCTCTCTTGTTTATGCAGTTATCGAGTTATCTTGTCTGGTTTGCTTCTCTTATACAACAAGAATAACGCACTGACCATTTGTCCTTGATTCCTCTCCATGTTTTGGATTCAAACATGAAGATTGACTGACAAAGAAATGGTAAGCATCTTGATCTTCATCTACAATTTTAAAGGATTTTATTCTTTTAGATCTGTTTTTTTATGTAGTCCCTCTATACCAAAAAGACCTTCACACTTCCCATTTTGGGCGTCCCAAAGAACACATTACACTTCTTTACTTTCCTTAAAGGAAATGAATATGTGGTTCTTATTATGCCTCTATCACCAAAATAAATTTCAACCCCACGCCTTTTACTTTTCAGTTTTCACCTAACACCTTTCTCAATTCAACACTTTTCTTACACTGCGTGATGTCAAACTGTAAAATTCTTCTTGGGATAGAGAGAGAGAGAGAGAGAGAGAGAGAGAGAGAGAGAGAGTATAGTTATTTATTTATTGTGTATTTTTAAGTTCATTAATGCCAGTAAACTGTAAGGATAGCTTACAAAAAGAACTGTTGTATGGGATATCTATTCTAAAGGGCTCATTTTATTTTTACTATGCATGTTGTGACTGGCCAGAACCAAAGGCTGCTTCGACCTTCTCTATCTGTGGTTAACCCTGCAGCCACCTCATGTGACCAGCCATCTAATGCACCCAGAGGTAAACATATCAAACCATAACTTCTAGATTCAAACATTGGTTTCAAAATCATGTCTTATCAACAGAATATTTTATATGCAGTACTCACTAATGCTAACAGTACGTGCTATTTTGTCTGCTAGATGATACTGATCCTACTTTGGCCCTGAACTGTGGACATGGCAGCTTGAATGGAAATGGACTAAAGCAAAAAATTGTCTTGCAAGATTTGGAGCCCCTGGAGCTCCAGTCTCTGCATGAACTTGTTTCTTTAGTCCATGACCATGTCAACCAAAGACGACCTATGGTTTGCAGCTCTACTAAAACTCACAAAGCTGAAACCAACAGCCAACGGGCTATCGGAAAGGAGGAGTGCTCTAACTTTCTAGAAGATAAAGTTGCGAATCTTATTTGCTCCCTTAAGCCACTCACTCTCAGGAGTGTTTTTCTTGCCATGGCAGTGAGTCCATTTCTTAGTCCTTTTTTTATTCATTGTTTTTTTATGTATGGTCACTCCTGTCTATCGTTCCAAATTGAAGGCTTGATACTTTGATAGGTTCTAGCATTGATTTTTTTGTGAAGAATAGTGCTACATTTCTTTTATCTTTGGGTGGATTATCCTTATAAAAGTGATTTATTTTCTCCATTTCAAAATTTCTTCTTCCTGGAAAAAGTTTCAATTACGTAGTACTATGAATGAGGTGTTTCAAATCTCTTTCCATTACACTTGTTAATCCTTCAGCATCTCGAAGGCTTGAAGAAAGTTATAATCTTTTGTTTGCTTCTTTTGTTCAATCTTCTTCCTTATTGTTTTCACTGTAGTGTTTGGTATTTAGTATGGACCTGACATCTTCAAGATTTAGACTATTTTGCTACATCCTTTATCTGTTCTTTTACCATTTCTCCCACCACAGTTCCACACCTTCACAGAGATAATTTTTATGCTTTTCCAGCATAATTTTCCAAGAACTTTGGAGGCTCTAGTGTTGCATGCATTGTCTCCTCTTGGAGCAGAAATACTAACTCGTAAGCTTGAGGAGATGGACCACCTTGTTGCCGAGGACGACCGGTACCTATATCTCTATTTCAATTCTTTCATTTGAGAATGGTATCTTTAATTGTTTGCATCCTGTCACACAAGTTTGGTGCTCTTAGGAACAATTTCTACCAGATTTTCTATGGTGTGTTTGACGACCAATTTGCTGCGATGGATGCGCTTTTAAACAAGAAAGAGTCATTTGCATGCCAGGTACTTCTGTATTTGTAGTTGGGTCAATTTATATTTCGTATAATCATCTAGAGTTGCATCATGGATAACTGGTGTATTATTATGGTGCCTTGAGCACCTTCAGTTTACTGGTGTATTCGTAGGTAGAAAAATGAGGAGTGTATCTCTCCTTGGGTGAAGTAAAAAGGAGGCAGGACCCATCCTATTCACTCCACAAAAATAATGCTCACCGTGCTAAAAAAAGAGTCCTCTTTTTCTTCATATATGTCCCATAAAAAGAGTCAAATTTGAGGAAAAGATGTTTTTTCCATCATATAACATACTTTTAGATTCAAAAAAGTGTTGAACATGTTGAATTTAGTTAAGCTAACGAATAAATTTTACGGCTCCTTTAGGAAATTAATATATGGCTCTTATCGTTTCTCTATATTCAAAATAAATTTTAACACGCTTTTTACTTTTCACCAAACACCTTTCACTTTTTAAAACTTTTACATATACTTGGTGAAGCTATGAAGTTCTTTTAGGAACAGAGGAGTAATTAAACATGATGATTTCCTCTAATTGTACTTCTTCACCAAAATTTAAAGGTGTAAATTTGAAGGAGGGAGTAATAAATTCTCTTCTCAGAAAAAAACAAAAATTCTCCATTTCTCTCCTAAATCTCTCTTTCCTATTTCGCCTTAACCAAACAAAGCCCAAAGGAAAGGCATCTCATTATAACTCACTTTACCTTCTCCCAAGTAACTACTCGGCCCGTCCTTGAGGGACCCAAGAAATGAGGTTCATTCTTTTCTTTTCTTTTGTATTTTGCAACAGGCATTCAAATCTGTGCTTGATCAGTATTTGGGAGTTAATTCTGATGGGCCTAAACCACAAGTGTGATGGGACTTCTACTGCTTCATTCCAATTTCTATGCATTAAAACATGGTGAGCCATTCGGACTTGTACTTCAAATTGATTTGAATTCATGGAAGAAGCCTATCTTATCTCAGTTTATAGTACGTAAACATGTGACTGTGTGAGCCTGTTACTGTATATATATATATATATATATATATATATATATATATATACATATATATATATAGGTCCACACACGTGTTACCTTTTCTAATTAAAATTACTTATCATGTGTTATTATATATAGGTCCACACACTTACAGCTTTGGCTGTTTTTGTATTATTACATTATTAGGCTCTATTGGCTTTTCAAAACGTGGCTTTGCTTTTTAGGCTGTGTTTGTTAAAATTATCTGAGGTCACATGTTTAAATGAGAGAAATAAAGTGGAAAGTATTTTTTGGGACGTTCAAAAAGAAAAAAACGGGTAAATTTTTTTGGAACGGGGGAGTAATATATAATAACACATGATAAGTAATTTTAATTAGATTGGGGTTTATACGAGTGAAATAATCTTTGGATTGGAAACAGAGATCAGCATGTGAGGTATGTATCCACACACACACACACACATTGTGTGAATGGTACTTTGGGTTTTTGTAGAAAAGGAAAGCTCTAGCTTAGCAATGGGGCTTTTTTGCAGCAGAAGGGAGAAGAATAGGAAAACTCAAACAGCCACAGAAGGTTTGGTAATTACTGGAATTGGGAAGGGGACAAATAAGAAAGGGATAAAAAAGGTAAGACTGTGGGGTTGAGATTCCCTGATGATAGATGACATCTACAAGCTTAATGGAGAAGGCTAAATTGCTAAAATAGATCTTTTGAATTTAAGCTTCTTTTTCTTTATGATAAAAAGATACAACTCTTTTTAGCCTAGCCATTGATATATAAAGGAGTATGTAGATAGTACTTTAAACCTGTATCTTGCTAATCTTTTCTAGTAAAAGATTGGATATGCCATAATATTTTTTCACTTTAAAAAATAATTCTATCCGGTGCTTCCTCTCTTTTCTTTTACTGCTGGGTGAATGAACACAATAAATAAATCAATTCCATGAATACCTCTCTTCTTTGTTCCATACATTTTTCAAATCTATGTTGTAAAGAATACAGTTTGATTTCACAGAATTTAAGGTAAGATCTGAAATGTCATTCATAAATTTTATTTGAAACTCGTTTCACATTTGAGTTTGGAATTGTAATCGAAAAAATTTAACAAATACAAATCAATATGAGTAAACTTGGTATGGGATTAAAAATATAAAAACTACGGAGTATATATTAACAAATTACATCAAAAATTTTACAAAACAAGTGGTGACATGCAACATTTTTTTATTTTATCAAATAATTAATGAAAATATATAAATAAGATGTAATTAATTTGATCTATGAATAGTGAGTAGGAGTTTTTCTAAGATAGAGCAAGTACTAATAGTTTTTAGTTCTAGTATTTTCAATGTTAATATATACGGAGTACCATTAAAAAACTATCTAAAACATGAATGTTAATAACCAACGGGTTTTCCAACAAAAACGACCAAAATACTATTAGACCAAATATGTATATCGACGATATTAGTTCGAATACAATTAAGTCCATTCATTCATCAATTTAATAAGCTAATTAAGGTGCTTTATTATTTGTAATTGGAAGGTCATTAATCATTACTTAGCTTTTGTTTACTTCAATTCCAGCTACTCAAAAGTAATATAATGAAACAAAATGAAATAGACTGCAAACAATTAATTAAGAATCAATAAGCCTTCAGATGATCCAATGTAGCAGATTCCCAGGAAATGCATGTTACCCCCAAGGTTAATTACATATAAATTAATATAATTAATTTATAATGCGGAGTAATATAATATATATAGGATATGATCAACAACTTCCCCATGTTCCGGAGGTTGTCTCAGCAGGAGGAGCAGCAGCAAAACCAAACCCTAATTGATGGGTATCATGGCGCTCATTGTTATTATACATATTGCTGCTCCCACTGCTGCATGGGAACAGTAGCTCGTCATCCGCGGCGGCACCGGTGGCGGCATACGACAGCAGACCGCGGTGGTGATCCCTCCCGCCGTCGTTTCCGGTCAACCCGAGAAAGTCTCGGGTGAGCGGGTCCCCCTTCTCCCACGCGTCGAAGCTCATGTAGTCCTCGTGCGCGACGGCGGCGGCCATCCTCTCCATCATGTCCACGTCCGGCCCCGCCGCGTGCAGGTGGGCCATGCTGCACTCCACGTGGCCCACCGCGGCGGCCCCGACGCTCGCCGCCTTCTGCAGGAGCGCCGTGGCGGAGAGGAACGGCGCCGCCGGTTCATGGAAGTACGGCGGCGGCCCGGTCTCGGACTTGATCATGGGAGGGAGATGATGGACCCGGGAGGGCGGCGGGTCCCACAGGACGCCGCCGCTGCCTCCCATTGTCATGATGGTGGTTGTTTGTGCCGGTGGCGGAGGTGGGGAGGAGAAATGACGGTGAGGCGGCGGGGGCGGGGCGGCGGAGAAGAGGGACGGCGGAGGGTTGAGGTGAAAGTTGGGGTAAATTAGGTGGGGAGTATTACTGTTATTGTTACTGTTATTGTTACGAGGAGGAGGAGGTGGGGGTGGTGGAGGAGGAGTAGTGCGTTGCATGAGGAGTATGGTCTTAGCAGAAAGTCTGGCACTCTCTTCAGCCAGAGCGTCACAGAATGCCCTGTGGGTTATAAAGCTGTCCTTCCTGCAATATTATTTTTTTACAAAGTCATTTTAATGGGGTATATAGGGAGAGTAAAACTAAACTACATGTATAAACTACATCAAAATATTCATAAAACTATAGGTGTCATGGTTACGTTATAAGCATGACCTTGTAAATAAGCAACGAAAATAAACTACCAAAATGAGTAAATCTTGACCAAGGAAGCCACTGCCCCCTACGGAACTCCGTTCATAAAATTGATAATTCCTACCCCCGGTAAACCCCTCCGCCAAGTCCCGACCCAAACTCATCCCCCCACCTACGTCAATTGCACCTCGTAAGCATAATTGACTTTAAAGTCAAAAGTTTTGACTTTATGCTTACGAGGTGCAATTGACGTAGGTGGGGGGATGAGTTTGGGTCGGGACTTGGCGGAGGGGTTTACCGGGGGATTAGGGGGTAGGAATCATCAATTTTATGAACGGAGTTCCGTAGGGGGGCAGTGGCTTCCGTGGCCACTGGAATCCAGTGGCCATGGAACCGGGCCGAAATAGCGAACAGAAAGATAATTTTTGAAGTGAAAGAATAGTCACAATAGGTGATTTTAAGAGGTTAGAGGAGCCAAACCAAAGTTTCAATTAGCATTTAAGATATCTTTTAGTAGTATAAATTAAATTTGAAAATATTAAAGTTAAGCATTGTTACTTTCCTATTACTCCTTACATCCCACAAAAAATTGTTCTCTTTTTTTCATCCGTCTCAAATTCAAAAACCTCTTCTAATTTTTATGAAAAAATCACGTTTATCTATATTAATTTCTAACTTACATATTATATCACATTTTTTCATTATTAATTTACTTATCACATGTATCATACTTTTATTCATCACATTTAAGATCATTTTTAAAAAGTCGGTCCACATTAAAACACATTTTTCTAAAATCTTTTAAAAGTCAAAACAAAAAAAGTTTTATAAGTTTGAGAATGCTAAGAATGTTGTCTAATGGGCACAAAGAGTCAAAAACATGCATGACGTTTGAGTTATATGTAACGCTATATATTTATATATCTTCACATGCAAAACAAAGTAACAAACAGTATCATTTTTCACCTAGGGTAAATTATCTCAGATCAAACCATCTTACATTTCACCAGTCTACCAAAAAATAATCTCAATTTTTAAAATGTGATTCCGAATAAGCAAACAATTGTTACTAACTGCAAGTCGGCCACCATCTAATATAAACACAAACGGAACCTTAAGCAAAATGTTGGAATATCTGTTTAGGGCGTTCCTAAAGTCACTCTTTCAATCCACACATTTTATTTTTTTAAAAAAATGAACAAATTTATCCTTTAAGTGTGAAAAATAAGAAAATGCAACACCTGGATCAACTTAAGGGTAAAATTTGACATTAATGTACAGTTGAAATTTGTTTAAATGAAATAAAAATTTTGTGAGTGGCATGCATATCCATTTTTTTAAAGGGGAAATAAAGTAAAAAAAGATTTGTGTAACAAAAAAAAGAATCTTGGTGTGAAAACTCATCAATTACCAAATATAAGCAGTATGTGTACGTGATTCAATCATACAACCCATGAAAAAGACACAACACTATATAGACTGGCAAGGAAGCTAAGGTATGTAAGGCAAAGATGAAGATTCTCAAGCAACGCCAGATAATCACAGAACATGCATGGTCATCTGATGATATGATCATATATATACACACACACACACACACACACACACACACACACACACTCACTCTTTCCAAAAATTATCTTCTCATTGCGTGTTACGATATTTGACTGAAATTATTTTCATACGATTTTATATATATGAAAAATGGTGCAAAATCAAAAAATAAAAATTACAAAATTTAAAACTGCGTCAAAAGATTTACAAAATTAGAAAAAACGTGACTATAATATTTTATCAAATAAGCAACGAAAATAAGCCAATAAAGCAAATAAAATTTGAAGATTAAACCAGTACACGGTAGTCTCTTTAACATTTGAATTTTTTTCATCCGTTTAAAAAAAACTTTCCTTTTAAAGTACAAAATTTGTAGCTAAGAAAATTTCCCTGTTAATTATAACCAATTTTTTGTTCAACACATTTTGAAAATTTTGTAAAAATCGAAGTGTGAAGTTTTTTATACTTCCTCTGTGCAAAAAAACAGAATGGCGCGCGCTATGCACTATTTAAAAATCATGAGATTTTTTTATTTGTCTATTTTCATTGATTATATATTATTTGATAAAATAAAACATTCTTGTCACTTTTTTGTAAAAATTTTGTCGTAATATTTAAATATGTAAGTCTTGTTTTCAATTTATATACCAATCTTTAAATAACGTAAACTTTTTTAAAAATATTGAAATTTCACCTTGTTTTTAGGTAGTGTGATATTTTTTTTGAAAGAAAGAGGATGTAAGAGAGAAGTAATTTTAATTTTTTTTGGAGATGGAGAATATATATACATGTATATATATAGCATGTAAGTACTAAAGTGCTCAACCTTTTGTATCTTTTGTGTAGACAAAGACATGAAAGCTATCATTAGTTCTTAGACGACCACTGCCACCCCATCCATCATTCCATTCCCAGAATTTTATATACTCCTTGCTACCTCCAATTTCTTTCTTTTTTTCCTTTTTTAAATCTTCAGAAAAATATGTACCAGACAGGTTTCCAAATAGTGAGCCCATTCTTTTTTCTTTAAATAGGAATGCTAAAAAAATAACTACTCCGTTCCGTAAACTTTTGAGAGTGAAAACCGTAGAAGTTTGACCAAGATGAAACAATGACAACTGAAACGGGTAGGGCTCGGAAAATATCAAAATAGATAGGACGTATAATAAGTTAATTGAGGTATGTTCAGTTAGATCTAAGAGAAGTAAAAGAAATTGCTTTCATTTAACCCAAATCGAAATATGTTTTATATATAGGACAAATAAGATGTGAAAGTTAAAAAGTTTTATAGAACGGAGAAAATATGAAATTCATTTTAAAACAGATAAAATAATAAAATACTTGGTGTCAAGTTTCAAAATAGTATAGCTATTATATGTTTTTATTACTGATTTATAAGTACATAATGTTAAATTATGCTCGTTCCTATGTGTGTGTGTGTCCTCACATTAAAAAAGCAGACATCATATCCCCACTCAGAGCTTACCACTCTTGTGTAATAGCAACAACCAAACAAGACTTTGTCATCTATATATCTACATAAAGCCAAAGATTCTTAGGGTAAAGGAAATACGAAAAACTTTCCATTTTATTAATTTGCTACGTAACCAAAACTCCATTTTATTCCATCTTTATTCAATTTTCTCTTTTCCAATAAATATACTCATACAAAATTTCAGTTAGCATGTGCTCTTCCATTTGATAACTATACATACATAAATATAGTACTGAGTTATATGAATATTGAGATACATTATATCTATATTCATTGTAATTTATGTATTAATAAATCAGTTACATTAGATGATGTAGCTAGTAGTTTATATGCATTATTATTAGTTGTTTTTTATTAAAGAAAATGTAAACCTAAAAGTTTCTATTTTCTTTTTTATCCGTCCCAAGAAAGGGGTTCTTCATTCCATTTTTGGGGAAAAAATTGTCTCTATATTTTATGTCATCACTTTTAACTACACGATTTTATTTTTCATATTATATGTGCCTAGTCAAACGTGGGACGACATTTTTGCGTGAAATAAAATATGTATATATATACCTGGAGAAAAGGGTACCACAATCACATTTATACTCCCTAGTACCACAAGTCTTAGAGTGAGCCTTCCAATCAGACTGGACAGCATAGAACTTGGAACACTTGAGGCACTTCCACTTCTTCTCCCCATGCTTCCTGCAGTAGTGTTTCTTGATCCCGGTGAGGTCCCCCAGCGCCCTCGACGGGTGGTGGTGGACGCACCCGGGCTCAGGGCACACGTAAACCCTCTTCCTGCTCATCTCCTGCTTGCTCTTCTGCTTCAGCTTCCACGGGAGGTTGTGCCCTCTCCTGTGGAGCTGCAGGTTCTGGTCCCTCTGGAACCCCTTGTTGCATATCTCGCACACGAACCGGTTCGTCGCTAGTAGGGCCCGCGGCGATAGCGCTATCACCTCTGCTTCCGGGTCTGTAAAGTCAACCAAAAGTGTAAAGTCATGGTTGAAAGTCAAGAAATTAAAATGTTTAGAAGTTGAGCTGATTTATTGACATGATATCAGAATTTAATTGACCTAACACAAATTTAACTATATCGTCACTCAATTTTAATACGCAAAGGGCATATTAGATTATTGAAAAAATTAGACCTGATAGAATTAAAAGCTTGAACTTCTGGGTAGTTTATTTCTTAATACTATTCAAGAAAAGTTCAAATTTGTTATTAAAAATTAAAAAATATTTTGTATATGAGTACTTTAACAATAATGCTAAATGTATGATGTACTAAAAAATGCTACTCCGTACAATATATATGCATGAGGATCTATATAAACAAAGCAAAGTAAATCAAAAGTGCGTGTTTCAATTTGTTCAATGCAAAGGTAGCTTTAATTTGTTTTTGTGATTTTATAATGCGAATGTCCGCGATTAAATTAAAAGATGTACAAATTTAATTAATTAATTAGTTAATTAGAACCTTAACTTAAGCTACTAATTGTGTAAATGTAACGTACAATATTGTTGTTTGAGGAGATGGTCCTTAGATTTAACAAAGAGTTATTTAATTAATTACTTCATTAGCATGCCAAACTACCAAGTGATCACATTGATTTATCTCTCAAAATTAAAGTAGACCCATTTCATTTACCCAGGTAGAATTTTTACCTTGAAAATGTGTGTGAGAAAGTAACATCTGAAGTTGGTTCCAGTGGATTGACTGCGACGTGGTAATTTTATTGTAACTTTGAGAGTGACAAACATATATCCATTTCAAAAAAACTGGTAATTATTGGAGGTTAATTATCCTTCCTCATCTTCAATTATACAGTATAACTTTAATGCAATGTTCGGAATTTAATTATTTGAATTTCTCACCCTCATATATGTCCAATAAATAAGCTTTAATTACCAACAAAAAATTACTTTTGTCATCTCAACCTCCATAGTTATTACTTACTGACAGAAATGGAGATTAATTATCATAACTCGAATAATTAATACAAATAAATTAACAATCGATTTAAACTTGGTGTCTATCAAAATTTAACGCACACATAAATCTTTTTTCTCATATCAATTTTGTGGTCCTCAAAAGATTCTCAATATATATATAATTGGATCCTAGCTAGAAAATTAAAATTTTATATTTTAAGGCACGCGTTTAAGTACGAATTTTTTTACCCATACCTTGTACATGAACATTAATTTTTTAAAAAAAAATTGGGGATGCTCAAGTTCAAATTTATGATCAATATCGACAAGATTTTGATCTTTATCAAATTATCAACTCAATCAAAAGTTTAAACTTATAGATAAACATCGAGAAAAAACCCGAACCTGGATTTCCTGGAAGGTTTCTCTTCTTCTTCATCTTATGGGATTGTTGTTCATCATCATGATGATCATGGTCATGATGATGATGATGATGATCACTTGGGATGATGGTGCCATGGTACATGGGGTTTAAAGAAGATGATGAGAAATCTTGGAGCCTGTTAGAAACAGATGGATGACATGATGATGACGACACACTGAGCTCTTGATCAGAATTAAACATCATCTAATCTCTCCAAGAAGAAGATTTGAAGAAGAAGAAGAAGAAGACACTTGTGGCGTGTTTGGGGTTTGATGATTTCTTGGAATTGCATGTTCAGACAAATACACACATCTGCAATTAATTGAGAGAGACACACAAACAGGACTTAGAGAATCCCATGTTTGTTTATATATACATATACATGTACACATACATATATACATACATGTGTGATGGAGTAGTGTGTGTGTGCGTGTATGTATATTTTGCGGGCAGCTTAGGTTTTCTTTTTCCCTGCCCGACCCCTGCCCGGTGGCCCTTATTCTACTATTGTGTATAGTATGTAGCTATCAGTGTGTCTATATGTGTGAATGAATATGGGGTGACTTATTAGTACACATGGGAATTATCTGTTGGTAGAAAAATGGCATACACATTTTTTATCATTATTGTTGTGCCTGACTAAGTTTAATCCCCAGGTCGGGCTGGGCTCGACTGGACTGGGTCAGGATAAACGCGGCACGACTCGTGTATTTATCACCGGGTCATGCCGGTCGTCAAACGAGAAAAAATTTAGAAAGACTATATCTTTTTCGAAAGTATGATTTTAGGTCATTTTTGAACTTTAAATTGAAATAGTACACTCATCCCTCTCAAAATTGTATTCTCTCCGTTTCGATAAACAATTTCTATTTTGACTTTAGGCAAAAATAAGGAAGGATTACTTAGAGTTGTCTTTTTAATTTTGTCCTCAATGTGATGATTAAAAATAAGATGTGATAGATGTGGTAAGAAAAAATAGAAGTAAAAATGATTTTTTAATTTAAAGTGGAAGCTTTTTAGAGAACACAAAAAAATGAAAGAGGAATATTTAATAAAGAAACAAAGGAAGTATATATACTCTATTTATTGTTACACCATGACTACTCATGATCATATATTATCTCGTCCCCAAAATTATACAATAATATTTTCATTTGATTTTCTGCAGTCTCTAATGTGTCACTTTTAATGTTATTAATATTTATATTTATACATTATCTTTAAAAATGATATTTCAAAATGTCATTTCAAGATGAACAATTCAAATGATATTAAAGTTACACCCAGAGTAATATTGTTCAATATACCTCTTTCTAATTCTTGTATAATTAGTGTACTCTACTAACATTATAAAGTATATCATCTACAGATTAAAGGAACTATTTCATATAATTTCATTACTCCATGTAAATGCACGAATCCTTTATTTGTAATCAATATCTTAAATCTCGTGGTAATAAAACTTGCAATTATAATGCTTTGCTCTAAAAAATAAAAAAAATACTAACCCGTGCATCGCACGGGTGAAGTACTAGTTCTAATCATATTTTATGGTCAAATTTTATGATTTTGCCCTAAAAAGTCAAATGAAAACATTATTTTGAAACAGATTGAGTGTGTGTGAGGAGTATACTCACATAAAATTTACACACATGAAGAATAATTTTTAGATCTAATAAACTATAAAATCTTTTTTAAAAAAATTATTGGGCTCTGCAATATTAGGGAGCATGACTGATTTGAAAAAAGAAAATTGTGGGTACCCGTTCTAAGCAAGACAAATCCAAAAAACCCATTTTTGAATTATCTATTCTTTATTGGGCAATGCATTTTTCAAATAAATAATACTCTCTATCGCAGGTATTCCTCCGTCTCATTTTATATTGCCCGTTTTGACTTTGGAGCATATTTAAGAAAAGAAAAAATTATATTGACTTTTCAAAAATGCCTTAATTTTTTATGGGAATGGCGATGAATGAGAAGATAAGGTGGAAAGGAGTAGTTTTTTTTTAGGGGTAATTTAAGTATTTTACCCTTAAAACTTTATTATTATAAGAAACATGTAACTTATATTGGGACGAACAAAAAAGGAAAACATACAATTTAAAATGGGAAGGAGAGAGTATAATTTAGTGGGGAGAATATTACGAATCATACAATGTTTTCTTCTGGTGCGATAATCTATATTCTATACCCATCACTCAATGCTTTTTTTCTTAAAAAAACGTGAATTTTATTTTACAACAAACAAAAACATAAAATGAAAAAAGAAAATAATTTTGAGAGAAATTAAATACCCCATAATGAACCCTAAAATCAAATAAGCAAACTTTAATGTGTAAAATAAAAGGTGGTGATGATATGATGGGGGGGCAACTTATTAAGATATGGAATTTACTGTCGAGTTGAAAAGAGAAAAGGAATGGAGTGATGAAAATGACACTTGTGTCACGTTAGTTCCATGGGGGGCCAACCTCTTAGACAGAGGCCGGTGCCACCAAATTAAGATTCAACTTTATTAACTTAGATTTTATTCTTAACATATTTATAAAGATTAGGCTAAGAGTACCCCAACATTTATACCCCAATTTGTACCCCACAAGTTTGCACTAACATTTTGTGTTGGTGTAAAACTAATTTTTGTTAACGCACCAACACTTTGTGTCCGTGTAAATTTTTGTTAACGCACCAACACTTATGTCGGTGTAAACCATCAAAATGTTTGTGCATAACTATGGTGTACAAATGAGGTACATTTTTTGGTGTAAGTGTAGCATGGTCCTATTTATAAACGTAAGTGCATAACTAGATTCATGCCCTGAGTGTTGTACGATAACTTTTTTTTAAAGTTAAATTTATAAATGTCATAAATTTTGGAGTATAAAATTTGGTAGATATTCAACATGGCATATAATTATTTGAGTTAATACAAAATAAAAAAATACTTTTGAAATAGTAATATAGGGAGTAAATAAGAATCATACTTTGAGGCATTATTGTATATAATTATTTATGGTTAGTTAATTATATTCTTTTGGCACCATATTTTTCTACTTCACATAAATCTACAATTGGTTACGTACTCCCTCCGTCCCAAATTGTTTTACCCAAATTGGGTAAAACGAAAGAAATTTTAATTTTTTGAATTCATTTTATTTAAAGATTAATATAAAAATTAAAAATAAACTTACATATTTTAAAACTACATCAAAAGTTCTATAAAACAAGATATGACAAGAATATTTTATTTTATCAAATAATCAATCAAAACACACAAAAAATAAAAATTCTCGTGATTTTTGAATAGTAAAGAGTGTAATTTTTTTGGGACCTACATATGAGCAAAATAAGTATTTCTTTACTACTTAAATAAGCATTTTTTTAAATAAAAAAAACCTTTTTATGTGAGAATGTCTACAAAAATATTATGCACCCAAGGTGTACTAAAGAAACACTCTTTTTTTTGGACGGAGGGAGTATATACGACGCTTAACTTTATCTTATGTAAACTTTGGTTATGAAATTAAATAAAATTACCATAATCTCACTGCCACAATTTTTATTGCTATAATTAAGGATTATTATGGACAATGCGTCATGACAACCTAACCTGAATTTATTCAGACAGGTAATAGTTTGAACTTTGAAAACACTTATCCTGGTTGAGTTTGTACTTTAAATTTCTTTAGAAATAATTTTTTCGATAAATGTTTGCATTCTAGGTAATATTTTAAAGAAGTAGATTAATTTTAAAAATACTAAACCTAAATACGACTGTTGGATATCCTGCTTTTTTCAAATACTAACACTAAATGCTAACATCGTTGTCCAACAGACTTTTTAATATGTGAAATTTGCACTAAATAAAACTAAAACATAAGTCATTTCTCAATGTAGGACTTAAACTTTTTTATTCTCTAAAAAGGACTTAATAATGCATAGTGGGAGGAGGAATAATGTCCGGTAATGATGGACATTTACTTGAACAATGACTAATTGATAATGACCAAAGGTCCTACATTGGAAAATAAAAACATATGGTCCTATATTGGAAAAATCATTATGTTTTAATCTGTACATTTCTATTTTAATATACGGAATAGTAATACTCCGCAAAACTATTGGCACCCTACGCTATACATTTTGTTTAATAAAATTTTGCAATTAATAACCACCTTTTGAATATGGTACCTTACAAAAAATAACCTTATAAATATTCTTTCAATATTTCGTCTTATACCACTATTTTCGTCTCATTCTATTTGTCTAATTTATTTTTTACAATCGAATCAAATAAATTTTGATCGTCAATTAAATAAAAAGTCCAGCACATAATGATGTAGAGAAATGCGAAGTACTCCGTAATATTTATTTGAGGCTTTTTTGCAAGACAAATTGTTGGTGCAAACTAGCCTCCCAAATTTTGCAAGACAAATTTTGATTGTCAATTAAATAAAAAGTCCAGTACATAATGATGCAGGGAAATGCGAGATAATATTTGAGCCTTATTTTATGGCATTGCATAAATTTAAACGACCATGCAACCATATTTTTCTGAAATTTGTAGACAAATTAAAACAAGATATGTTAAGAGTATCCCACATCGGAAAAGTGTGAGGAAAATAATCACTATATAAGCTCTTGAGTTGAACTAACTAATCAATTGGATTCAATCTTTTAATGCGGTTCAACCTAAGTGTCTTATTGCCCAATCCAGTTATCTTTACCTCATCCTAAATTTTATCATGGTATCTTCTTGATTTGCTGAATTTGGGCCCGTGCCTTTTAAGGGGGAGTATCGCAATCGGGCTGCTCTTTTGTATTTGTTACTGCCCTGTGTTTTCTCTGTTGATTCTGCACATCTACTTCTGAAAAATTATACGGAATGTCTCGTCCTGTGCCCTGTGAGTGGCTTGTGGACAGTGGTGCATCTCATCATATGACAGGGGTGCTTTCGTGTTTGACTGATGTAGTGCAGCGGCCTCCTTGTACTATAAGCTTGCCCGATGGGGCTCATGTGATGGCCAACTCGTGTGGACAAGTGCAAGTCTCTCCAACTTTGGTTTTAACTGATGTTCTTTATGTGCCTAATTTAAAGTGCAACTTGATCTCTGTGAATTGTCTTGTCAACTCTCATAACTGTCATGTTTTCTTTGATGACCAATTTTGTGTGATACAGGACCGAACTTCGAAGACGCAGATTGGACGATGTGAAGTGCGCAATGGAGTTTATGTCCTTCCATCCTTCGCCCAAGCGTCCAAAGCCGAGTCTATTTCTCTTTTGCATCAGCGTCTTGGTCATCCGTCACCTCAAGTTATGTCTTTACC